GTATGTCTTGCAGAAACATTTGTTGACAATATTTCCGATGTTGATTGGTTGCATGACTATGATATCTTTTATAGCCCAGCAATCAAACTGTCCGAGTATGGTCGACTCTCTGGTGGTGTCTGCGTAGGTGTTCATCGATCTGTCAGCAAATCGTGTAAGTTGTTGAAATCCGATTTTGACAATTTTGTATGTATAAAATTCAGTAAGTCGATATTTGCAACGGATAAAGATATTAACTTGATATGTACATATATCCCACCAGTGGGTTCATCCTACTATAAGACTCACACAAAATGTAGTCTTGAGAATGTTGATCAGTTTTTACTTTCTAATTTGTCTGAGTTTAGAGATTCCCATATTGTACTATGTGGCGACATGAACGCGCGAACAGGAGAGAGTAACAACCCCAAGTGACATGTATCGATGATAGAAACGTCACCAACATATTTGATGACGAGGACGATATCCCTGTTGGGGATCGTAAATCACATGATAAGGTCATAAATAGATTCGGACAAATTTTGATAGACATGTGTTATGCATTTCATTTATTTATTGTCAATGGTAGAGTGTTTGGAGATGAACAAGGTGAATATACTTTTTGTCGGACAGCATGGCTGTAGTGTTAATGATTATTTCATCTGTTCTCCTGATCTCTTTGAATATATAAGTATGTTGAATATAGGTGATCGATTAGATTCCGATCATCTGCCTTTAGAGCTCAAATGCCGATTTCCTAAAATGAACATGATTAAAGGTAAATCAACAGCGGATATCTCCTCTAATGAAAAAATTGTGTGGAATGAGTCTTTATGTAAGACTTTTTAGGAAATCTTCAAGAGAGAGAACCGCAGCTGGTTTCCAGTCGGTGTTTAATAAACTTGATAGTAATATAGAAGATGCTATTGATGATTTTGTAAGTATGATTTTAGATTCTGCAAGCTGTATGAAGAAACGTGTATCGAGCGCACCGCCGCGAAACAATCCACCCTTGAATGCTGAGTGTAAGGCTGCACGGCGGGTTGCACGAAAATCTCTAAAGACATTTAGACGTAAACGTAACGATATCAGTAGAAAACTATATTGTAAAGAACGAAATATATACAGAAACTGTTGTAGAAGATTTAAATCGGACCTGAGTAAACGAAATGTCGACAACTTAACAAAGGCAACAAAAGCCCGACCTCATTTTGGGAAACAAATCAGATATTTAAAAAGTCGACCAACACACGAAAAATGTAGTTCCGAAAGCGGAATGGTTAAATCATTTGAAAAAATGTATTTCGTAATGATTTTGTTTTTAATGATTCTTTTGATGATTGTCCTTTGCAGGATGATGCAACACCAGATATTTTAACTGCAGATATGTCAGACGTCGATTCACTTGTATTAGACTCACCCATAACAGATAATGAAATATCAGAAGCGTTATTGCATTTGAAAATGGAAAATCAGCTGGTCTTGACCTCGTCGTGGTGGAAATGCTTAAAAGTTCAGAGTTTGTTATCATGTCCTTTTGAATAAGTGCTTTAATAAATTGTTTGAAAATGGTATTTTCCCCCGTTGTTGGGCGCGATCAATTATTATTCCCTTACATAAGAAAGGTGATGTCACCAATCCAGATAATTATAGAGGAATCTCCCTTATGAGTATTTTAGGTAAAGTCTTTACATCTGTTCTAAATAACAGACTCACTAAATGGGCAAGTATGACAGATAAAATTCCCGAATCACAAGCAGGCTTTAGAAAGAAATATTCAACTTCTGATCATATCTTTACACTATTTGCACTAGCCCAGAAATGTCTATCCCGTCGTAAGCGTAAATTATATGTAGCTTTCGTTGATTTCCGTAAAGCATTTGATTCTGTCAATCGTTCTAAATTGTGGTATTCTTTAAGTAATGCTGGCCTGAAAGGTAGAATGTATTCAATTTTAAAAGCAATGTATACTAATGTGATAGCTTGTGTACGTTGTGGTGATGATAAGACTGATTTTTTCGACTGCCCCGTTGGCTTAAGACAAGGATGTGTTGTGAGTCCAATTCTATTTTCCCTGTTTATCAACGAATTGTACTACGATATCATTGCAAATGGTAAGCATGGCATCCAACTATTTCCAGATCTCTTAGAACTTTTATTCTTTTATTTGCTGATGACGTAATTCTTTTATCAGAATCTGTCGTTGGACTACAGACCCAGTTAAATATTTTGGAACGGTATACTAAAACATGGGATTTATCCGTTAACCTAGATAAAACTAATATTGTTATATTTAGAAAAGGTGGCCGGATATCTTCTAAAGAAAGGTGGTCCTTTAATGACCAACCTGTAATTGTCTCTGATCATTACACTTATCTTGGTATTAAGTTTACATCTGCTATGAACTGGAAAACATCTGTTACTGAATTATCATTGAAAGCTAAGAAAGCATTGATAAGTCTTTTATCTGCCTTGTGTAAAATTGGTGTGTTGACGCCCAGTTTTACTTTAAACTATTTGATTGTCAAATTCAGCCTATTCTTTTGTATGGATCGGAGATTTGGGGATTCCAGAGATAGGAATGCATAGAAAAATACATTTGATGGCCTGTAAGAAAATTTTAAATGTAAGACCCTCTACACCGAATTGTATGGTGTACGGTGAATGTGGGAGGTATCCCCTGTATATAAATGCTCATATTCGATGTATAAAATTCTGGTTTAAGATATTGTGTATGCAAGAACATAGATTACCCAAAAGGCTTATAACATGCTTGTTCATTTGGACAACATTGGTAAAGTGACGTGGGCATCTTATGTAAGAAATCTTCTGTTTTCACATGGTTATGGTTTTGTATGGTTAAGTCAGTCAGTTGGTGATGCAAGTTTGTTTTAACTCAGTTTCAAGAAAGAAGTTTTAATATGTTTAATCAAGAATGGCATTCAGTAATACATAATAGCTCACGGTACGACTCTTATAGAATATACAAATCACTACTCCAGCCGGAGAAATATCTGTCTTTTTTAACATCAAAGAAATTAAGATATCCATTTATACGTTTTAGGTTAGGTTTGATCAACATAATGGTAAACGAAGGAAGACGTTTTTATATTGAACGATGCAAGAGAATGTGGCCATTGTGTAATATAGATGTGGAAAATAAAATCCAGTTTTTGCTTGTATGTCCTTTGTATAAAGATTTGCGTACGAAATATATAGCTGAATATTATCTACGTAAAGCCACCTACATTAGCATTTAAACTACTTCTTTCATCAACTGACCAGCATGTAATAATAAAGCTGTCGTACTATATCAATTATGCTCTTATTACACGTAACAATCTGATAAAAGTGTTGTATGTCCATCGTATTTCACTACTTGTACATAATTTACTGCCTGTATAATGATTTGCTGTCTGGATCACTAATTACTACTTATTGCACCATATGTATAATGTATATGTATAACTCCAATGTATATGGGCCGGAGGTACTTTTTGTACAATAAACATCTTTGACTTTGACTTTGACAAAGGAACCGTCCCATGTACAGAGGCACACTGTTTATTCCAAGTGAACATTATTTGTCATTAAGATGTGAAGAGAAAATTTGCGGCGCTTTTACAGTGGTCTGTCAACAAACCGGACAATCAAGTGATTGGTGAGCCGGAAGTACCAATCAGATGGTTTTGAATTACGACTGTTGTGTAGATATACAGAGCTTCCGATGTTCATATGTTAGGGAAAAAACTTTTGAGAAATAGATTTGTTTTACAAAGCATTAGATAGGTTTATGTTATGTTTAGGTGTCTCGTAGTTCAGCCATTTGACAACTGTTCAGTAATTGAAGGTATAAAGCCCGGGAGATTATACATGTGTACAACCTTCAGCCGTGTCCCTGGTCAAGAACTGGGTGGGACGAACACAATACACAAAGATAAAACGGACATCCAGATCAATTGTCAGATATACAAATGACAGTGTTCCAGTCTAGTATTATTGGATTTTAAATACATACATTATGAAATTGTACTTGATGCTCCAAAATATGGTAAACATTTATACCGAGACTTACGTTTCTTTTCCAGGCATAGACAAACCTGAAGGTAAGAATATGTTTTCTCCAACTCATGTTTTATTAATTCTCTTGATTCAATGCGATCTTTTTACGGCAAGTTCTTTTCCACAGTTATTGGTGAATACGTGTATAAAGATAGTTTCGAGACGAATAACTTTGCATGCTCAAACCTCAACATGACAAGATGCATATGCACAGTGAAATCATTTCAGGAGAAAACAGATTTTATGGGTTAACATTTCGAATTAAAGTGCTCCACATGACCTGTTTGAAACTTGAAATATAGTTACTGATAGTGTAAATAGACCTGAATTTTCTTATAATTTACCGGCAAATAAGTCATCATAAAGTCCACGGCGAGGGCACGTGTGGGTCTGTTCTCCTAAACCTGGAACCTATGATCGGCGATTGGAGTGAGTGAGTGAGTTTAGTTTTACGCCGCACTCAGTAATATTCCAGCTTTATGGCGATGATCTGTACATAATCGAGTCTGGACCAGACAATCCAGTGATCACCAGCATGAACATCGAGCTACGCAATTGGGAACCGATGACATGTGTCAACCAAGTCAGCGAGCCTGACCACCCGATCCCGTCGGCGACTGGAACCCGCCTCGATTAGATTTGTAGCTCTGTGAGCCCCACGCCCGTGCTGGTGGTTTCCACCGAAGTGGTAACTAACTGAGACTTGCTTTATCTCGGGCTTCCCTCCCACAATAAACAGACACACGGTAATGTAACAGAGGGGTTAAACCGAAATCACTCACTCACTCATAAAAATAGAGTACTCTGATATCCTGATTTGTCATGGTGAGGTATTACATTGCGTGTTTTTATTGCGTGATTGCAGTGTCCTTCTACTGTATGAAAGATCGGGAAGGGTATTCTTTGAACCTTACCATGGACAAGAAAGGCATCCGTTTCTCGAACTTCGGAGCCGTGAACGCTGAAGGGGAGATCAGTCCCAGATGTGACAAAAGAAAGTTTAGCTATCTTGGTTTACATGTACAGATTCGAAACGTGTCGGGAGTTTGGGAATCGGATTGTCCTGTAGAAACAGTAAGAACGTAGTGTAAAACACAGTGAGTGAGTCTAGTTTTATGCCGCACTCAAGCATGGGTTACTGAAGATCAATTCTAAACCGGATCTTCACGGGTTGTGAAGCACAGACCTTCAATAATAGTTCCTCTCTGTCAGTGTGTGTGCGTGTGTATTTGTGTGCGTGTGCATGAGCGTGCGTGTATGTGTTTGTATGTGTGCATGAGCGTGCGTGCGTGCGTGTGTGTGTGTGTGTGTATAACGCTATACTATTAATCGTGTGTATCAGTAGTGTATATAACAACATAACAACCATAAATTGAAAGGGGCATGAGCAGAAGGCGTATTTTCTTTGTGGTTATTTTTGTGTTCATACAACCCAAGGTTGGAACGGGTATACTGAAATGGACCTTCAGACTTCAGAAGAATAGTGGCGTGGTGTCGTTTGAAGATGAGGACCTCCACGTCCACTGTGATCTGTCCGAAGCTGATGCTGCATACGATCACACTGGCAGAGTAGGGGTGGAGGAGTATGTATTTTTTTTAACTGATCAATGCGTAGAGATAATGTGGCTGCAGATATATAATTATGTTTCACTTCGTATGCGTACGATCCCATATGTGAGTGGCCCCCATGTGTTCGCTAACTGTGTTTTTATGTTTTTTAAGTTTGTGTTTTGTTTTTGTTGCGTGTGTGTGTTTGTTTTGTTTTGTTCTTATTGTTTTGTTTTTGTTGTGTGGGCTTTTTGGTTTGGTTTTGTGGTTTTTGTTTGTTGTTTGGGGTGGAGGGGTATTATATCATAGTTCATGCAAAATAAAACAATTTGAATGCGTGGAGTAAATAATGTTATAGTGAATGAAGCTTTGATTCAGCTTACATGTTTCAGGATTAGAGAGCGGACCGTAACAGCTGCCACACAGACTAGGGTCGGTCCCCGGACATACCTAGCAGATCCTGACACTCTGGAACCGGTCACAAATGTCAGCCTTGGTGTTCCAGTCAAACTGGTGGTCAAGCTTCCAGAAGGTTTGAATAAATCAAGCATGTTGTTATTCCCAGACTAAACACGTGTCAGGTTATGAAAGAGTGCTATCTGCCCTTTCAGCTAACCTTTCCTGATATTACCACCAGGAAGATATAGTCTATGGCTGCACTGATATGAACACCAATAACGACCATCGATGCTTAGTATCACATTATGAGCTGACCTTTTGACCTAGTTGCCACAAGACCTGCCCTCAGTCCCTGTTGACAATATGGGTGTGCTATTCAACCTGGTATGTAGATAAATCTCAATCAAGGAGAGATATCCAAATCAGGACAGGTTCAAGGAGATTGGAAAACACACCTATGAATTTGAAGACACGTGTCGTATTTCCCCATATTTTACAACATCGTCTTGTTTCAGGGGATGGCATAGTCAATCCGTTCTTTAATCCTCGAAATTGTCAAGCTGCATCTCCAGATGGAAATGTCACTGTACAACTGACTGACGACTCAGGGTCAGTATGCAGTCACTGACTTCCAGATTCACTGAGGTGGTGGGAGAGTCTAGTGGTTAAAGCGTTTGCTCGTCACTCCGAAGGCCCGGGTTCGATTCCCCACATGGGTACAAAGTGTGAAGCCCATTTCTGGCTTCCCCCGCCGTGATATTGCTGGAATATGTTTGAACATATGTTGATAATGACAGGTAATTTAGAACTCTGCAGGTATGAAAACATATTTTACTCTTCGACTACGTCAACTTGAGGTGCGAATATAAGCATCAAAACAGTCCACGTCCTTCTAGTAAAGTGACCTGATAAATACAAATATTAGTTTCTAACATTAAACAATACAGTTAGAAAAAGTCCAGATCTTTAGAATCTGAGGGAGTGAGTTGGATTTTACGCCGCTTTTAGCAATATTCCAGCAATATAACGGCGGGGGACACAAATTGGGCTTCACACATTGTATTGAACAAGGGCCTTCGGCGTGACGAGCGAATTCTAGAAGTTTAGAGGTTTGATTTCACCTTTCCATTTGGAGCGCCCCTTCTCATACACAGTGTGGTGTTCTTCGCTGTGATATTACTGGAATATTGCTAAAAGCCCCGTAAAACTAAGCTCACTCACTCTGCCACTTCCACAATGTCTATGTGGCTATTTGCATGAGTTTATATTGGATAATTGTTCCCTTTATCGAAGATTAGGGCTCTAAACAATCAAGGTATCTGCAGGATTAAGGTTATATACGACAATGGGGAATCGCTCTTACGCGAGGTATAATTATCTGTACTTAACATTTGTGTGATAAAAATCTTTCAAATTTGTCTCTGTTCCTTCAGAATGTGTCTGGAGGAATGAGGTCATGAAAAAGTCAATGCCAATGTGTATTACAGGCGACCACCTTTTGGGAGGTGATCATCATTTACGGCGATCAACTGATCAGTTGGTTGATAATCAAGTTGTACATTGTCTCTGTTTTTATTGGAGTAAAAGGTTTGGACAAATAACTTAAAACTATTACATGAAATAGGTCCCCAGTGTTGTGAAGTCCAAATAACTCATTTAGAAACATAGGGCAACTTTTACCATGATGAACTTGTATGGTATACAAATGTACCTATCTCACCAGTAACGTTATCGAGCTTAGAATCAGTGTGCGAAATAGTTTCCACATTTTGCTAGTCAGTCGGGCTAGCTATGCCTGAGAGTTACTAGCCAACAAAATAATTCACAAGGCCGACATTTGAATGTAAACACGTTTTTCATCATTAAGCTGCTAACATGATGCATGATTTTAAAAAAGTGTATAATAATTTTACAGGACGGAGAGAGCGACATATTTACAAAATGACCCCATGAAAATTCTCTAGCCAGTCGGGCCAGTGACTGTGGAGATTTCCTGGCCCGACTTGATTTTTATTAGCTACGGGCTAGCGGGCCAGTGGCTATTTCGCACACTGCTTAGAATACTTATACGTGTAATCCGCATTGCACTATAACACTAAAATTTGATAGTTTTCTTGTATTTATCATGTCATTATCAAACATATGAACTGTTCATTGGAAAACAAAAGTGGGAAAACAAAAGTGCGCGACAGGCATAATATGATGATGATGATGATGATGATACTGCTCTCGCTTCACTAATGGATCGCTCATCTCTTCCAGTTGTTCTGTGAGGATAGGCATTGGCTTTGGGACAATGAAGAGTATCTCTCGTGTGATCCAGTCGAGGACATTTCCCATGTTTTATCTGCCAGGCTACACAGAAGTGGTGTTCAGCTGTACCCTTGTACCCTCGTCTAGTTTCACAGCTGCTCCAGCGGTAGGTGTACAAGCTCTGTTTGCTTCTTGTAAATAATCGAGTCTGGACCAGACAATCCAGTGATCAGCATCATGCGCGTCGATCTACACAATCGGTATGCGACGACATGTGTCGACCAAGTCGCCTTTTTCGACAGTGTACAAGCATTACTAAACGGGCCAGAATATTAAGGTTTTTTAACAGCACACAGCAATACTGAAGCTTTATCATTGCGTCTGTCAGACTGGTACTTTCAAACCAAACTTGAGCATCCACTCACGCCCACTGTGAAATATATCAGCCTGTTGCTCCTCATTTGTTATGATCAGTCTGTGTTGATCGATACCGTATGGACTGAGCTCCAGGAGGCGTACGAACAAGCAGGAACATTATTGTGGACAAAGCGTGCAAAGCCATGACAAACCAATTCCTGGTATAGGTCCGCCTGTTAACAAAGTCCACCAAATCAATTAGAGCGGTTTGTAACCGATGTCTTGAATGAAGGTGAATTGAATCACGACTCAACACAGTGGCACCAAATAACACCAGGTAACAGAATGATAGCATGCACCGATTCATATAGTAAACCATTTAACGATTTCATACCATGAATCATAAAACGATCCAACACAATGAATCATATCAGGTAACATCAAATATCAGTCAGATAGCATGCAATCATTCATACAGTAAACCATTTAACGATCCCCTACCGTAAATCATAACAGTGTATCACAGTAAATGTCATACATTCAATCCTACCCGGACGTTACATATATTATCGCATGAGAATATATATATATGTATATATATATATGTGTGTGTGTGTGTGTGTGTGTGTGTGTGTGTAATAATAATGTATATATAAATATATAATGTATTGAGGATAAATGCACAACGACTCATTGTCAGATCCATAGGCCCATTATTTGGCATATACTTCACACATTTGTTTCAAAGTGGTGATGTTCATTATATTTTGGCCGGTTTTTTTAATTACCAATGATGGTCTTTATTTCTAACCTGCGATTTTATTATCAACATGTTGGTAGCAGTATGATAGACCTTGGTGGTCACAGGAAGTGGAACAGACCAAGCTAAATGCTAAAAGAAGCTGACATGACATTATGTGACATACAACAGAGAGCGTTATTAACGTGGCTCTATACGTCCACGACAAAAACAAACACAAAAAATCCTACATTTCTTTAGTTCCAAGAGACAGAAATAACACCAGGGGGTTGATAAATGTTGGTTGGTTGGTTGGTTGGTTGGTTGGTTGGTTGTTTAACGCCGCACTCAGCACTATTCCAGCTATATAGCGGCGGTCAGTAAATAATCAAGTCTGGACCAGACAATCCTGTGATCAATAGCATGAGCATCTATCTAATTGGGATACAATGACATATGTCAACCAAGTCAGCGAACCTCACCACCCGATCCCGTTTGTCGCCTTTTACGACAAGCACAGGATGCTGAAGACCAATCCTAACCTTACTTTCATAGGTGGTTGATGAACGCATATTGTATAAACATTATTATTTTCTTTCACAGTATTGTCCGTACAGAGGATGAGGCATTCGCAAATGGACGCATAGCATGATGGGTCATTATACAAGGTCAGTGTATGGTGATAATGTATGTCAGTCATTATTGACGAGTGGGGGTATTTATACATACTAGTTGTCAGTTAAAACCGGAGGAGGGAAAATGGTATTTCTAACCATTTTTCAAAACGATCATTTGATAGTTTATTTCAAATTGTGAATTTATTTTCAGATAAAGCCAGCGAGGCATTCATGGAAGCCAGCCAACAATATTTGATTAACTACTGATCTGACATAACAGCTAATACGAGCTCTGAATTTAGCTGGCCCTCACAGAGTAACACAACCTGTTTAATCAAAATAAATAAAAGTATCACAGAAAGCCTCTACATTAGAACATCAGAAGGCCTTGATCATTTGCAACATTGTGTGGTGACAGTTACTTGTTTCAAAAACTAACTAAAACGATATTGAATGAGTTTGGACTCTTTACAACATAGCTGTACTTGAAATATACTGCAAACAAAAAGTGTGGGAACACCCTAAAATTTGATAGTCATATATAAACTGAAACGTGGTGAGGTCATTTATAATGTAAGGTAAATGCAACTTTAGGTGTGTTTAATGGGCACTTTGAACGACATGGTAGAACTTGCAGTGATGCAACTGATTCAATATTCGTTGAGTTTGAGTGAAATGAAACATTGTCAAAAACAGCGAAAAACAAGGGCGCTGAAACACACCAGCACCATGTTTGATTCAAACGCCCAAACACAACAGACTACTGCATGTGGAAGACACACACACACACACACACACACACACACACACACACACACACACACAGCGCTTTGGCTCTAAGATGGTATTTATATCACATAGAGTTTTAATGCTTCAGTAAAGAGACAAGTCTTTAGATTTGAATCAAAACAGCTAAATCTGGTTGTGTTCTGAGGTGAGATGGAAGATATATATGTATATGACAATGTATGTATGTATAGAATAATAATTAATCAACAAGTTCGTCTGAAGCAACTTGCATAATAAATATACATGGCCATCTTTGTAACGACATCTACATCCTTTGATGCCAAAAGCATAATATTTATCATGAATAGGGTATGATATGAATTTAGTAGGTATGTACTTTTGACGCAATCAAAAATGGTATTCATCTTTGATGTAGCCTTCATTACACACAGGGCACGCTCCTGTAGGTTCCTATAGGAATATTAACAGATCTGTCTGTTTCTATGTTGAGGTCACGGGAACTGCAACGAATCTGCGCCATGGGCACGCGAAATTTGCAATTGTAAATTGTTTGAGGTATAATTCCGTTCCAAGGGTACCAAGAAAGTATAATTTATAGTTTTATTACTGCTGAAAAGAGTACCAGTCCTGTTCACACGAACATTTTAATCTTGCCATAATTTCCGCGATAAAGGATTCTTTACTTCCTACTGTTTGTAACTCCCAGACAAAGCCAAATATAGTCGAAACAATAAGTACTTCGATACCTGCACTTGAGAACTTTTATTTTTTTATTTCCTTGTTTGATTTCTAACTCTCGTGGATAGATGAGTTGATGATATACATGTACTTTCATCTTGGCATTGGTTAGATGACTTGTTCAACTTCTTGGTATTGGGTACTCTCTTTGACTGAACTAAAGTGTAAAATACATATACATATTTTGAAACCAGGTCCGATCCACTGCCCACCCAGCGGGCACACAACGTTGAATCAACGTTGAATCAACGTTGAATTTTGGTTGTTTGGTTGATCAACCTTTCATAAACGTTGATTCAACGTTTATCATGCGACCAAAGAAAGTTAGTCGAGATTCGTTTAGTTGTCAACGTTGTTTCAACGTAAGGAACCAACAAAATGTCAACTAATTGTTTCCTTGGCAAATTTGATACATAATTCATATTGGTAATAGGTATCCAACTTAGCAACTATCATTTCGGGAACATTATTTTCATAAAAGATCAAGATCGAGCTAGTGACAGATATAATCTTATATATTATTTGATTGTGCATCGATCAACGGACGGAAATATTACGTAAATCGCAGTTTTAGGTATAAAGTCATCAGTTATCCAAATTGCATTACATTTGATATTTTCCCACAAAACTGTTAAAATTGTATAATTCCCGACAATTTGCTTTCAAACACAAGCCAGATGTTGACCTTCGATCGCCCTCGTTTGGCCATATCCGACATGCGCACAATTATCGCGCGCGCAAAGGCAGCTGATCGTTGTCAGTTCACCTTGGCGAAGTTCAACGCAATATCGTTCTATTTTCACCATCTTCACGGCATGCTGGTGTTTATTTGGTAAGTATGTCCTTCATGTATAATGAAAACGTAGGAATGCCGTTTAAATCTAGCAGTAGCAAGAAACTCCGAATTAGGGCTCATGTTTTATCTCACAAGGTTACCGGTATGTCACAGTACATGTTTCTCAAAAGTTTGTTTTGTTATTTTTCAGTATATTTGCATGCATATATTTGGCATTTTATTATATAATCGAATAAGATTTTCGTACCCATCACCTGATTTAAATTTTGCAAATATACATTTTCAAATAATCAATGAAGTACATCAATATAAGGAACCGTTCATAATTAAATATATGGCTGCGGGTGGGGTGTTGATTGTAAGGGTTGGAGGGTGGGGGGGTGGGGTGTCACCCATTTTGTTCAGGGAGCTAAGGGGTCAGCATTTTTGTACACACGCACTATGTTTAGAAATTATGGGAAGGGGAGAGGGCGTCATAGATAATGTACATGACATGCAGGAGGGCTGTCTCTTATTCTGTACATACTCATACACTTTTAGGGTGGGTAATTCACATTGTACATAAAAATCAACATCACCCCAAAGCCATACATTATGAACGGTCCCTAAGGGCAGCTATACAAAATCGGATAGGTTTAATCAACATTTTATATTGCATCCCATTATTATGAACATTTGTTCGTTTGAATAGATCTATCAGTAAATGATGCATTGAGCACGCCCTGAACCCTATCAACATATGTATATTATTGGGGGGGAGGGGGTGATGGAGAATGGCGTAAGGAAATGCAACGAAAATTTTCACTTTAAAATGTCTTGTGAAAGTCTTTGTTAAGGATGAAATTGTATATAATTTATTTGAACTTTTATTTATTTACATAAAGTGTAACTTCACTAATGATTCTTTGATGGGACAATTAACAAAACTGCACCCACAGACTTTCATTCTTACACTTGTTTGGATGGGATATGATAATTCATGTCTCTTAAAGGTTACAATCTTACATACAAAAGAAGTAATTTTAATGTAAGGAACATTTAATTATGAAATAAGATTATTTTAATGGAATTTGCAGAAATCTCATCTTCGAACACTGGGTGGCAGCAATTTTGTGGATCACATAAAAGGAGCAAGGCTAAGGTAACACGTTTTAACATTTCACTTGTTTCCAGTATATCCACCACAAAGTTTAAGAGAAAGATGATAATGCTCTTTCATTACCACCTGTTTTGAATATTTGTGATAATGTTTGGTCTTTTTTGGTGATAATAGTTGGTCTTTATTTTCATTTATATATTAAGGTTGATCATTTAAGAGAAAAAATTGACAATGATTTCTCCCGGAGATGTTTAGTTTAATGAGCACTCCCTTGCTTGGCGCCATATTGTTTTTCGCCGTAAACAGCTGGATGCAAGATAGCACGCGAGAGGACAGAAGTCATACATTTATAGATATATATAGAGATGTTTATTGCTGGGAAACACACTCTTCAGGTATTTGGTCAGCTGTAGAATTTGAATATGATGTTTTTTATTATTGTCTAAGGGTAGGTTTTTCATTATTTGCAATCTAATATGTGTGCAGTGAAACATACTGAGATTTGGAAGAGTCCATTATTTAAAGTACAGGTGTTGTTAGATATCAGCATTTTATGTACATGTTCCCTTGTTAAGATCATCTATCGAGTATATTAGAGAGAAGGTGTATATTTGTAGTGTTTTAAATCAGAGTTATTTTCAGTGAATGACCTACATTTCAATATGTTTTGGCCACCTGTCACCCCTTTGGTCAAATACAGTAGGACTTCCATTTCTTGGAATTGAGAGTCAGAGATGCACTGTTTCCAAGAATTTGCGTTAGCCAGCGATGTTTGTTTACGAGTACATTTAAGTCTTTTTGAGTGTAGATTGGAGTTGTAAGAGATGTTATTCAATGTCTTATTATTCATTGTATGATAGATTATTTCTGGCAATGTAGAGTTTAATCTCATTATTTTATTGTTCATGATTCAGAGAAGCATAGTTATGACGTCGCAGATAATACGCACACATAATTCATTATATGAGAGATTTTCTAAGCGTTCCTATAAGAGATTAAGTGTAAACATTTATGAATTATAAAAAAGTTATTTATCTGAGTTTTATGAGTGTACAAATGACAAAGAGAGAGAGAGAGTACTAGATACTTGAGAATATATTGTATACTTATGAGAGCTCATTATTGTTTTCAGAACTCCATGATCCATACTTCCTTGTGTTTGGGAACAAATGGTGTTGGGAGACCTCCCACAATAGACTTGTTCTTTGACCTGTGAACCACCACCCATTTTGTTTTCTTATCATTTAATGTAAAATGGCTTTTGTTACAATTTATGACTCCTGGTAGCAAAATTGCTACATCAGTTCAACTCCTATTAATTTGAAATAATCATTTCCGAGAATCTCTAAAGAAAACTAAATCTGACAGAATAACAACAATCTTCCATTGTTTTGCAGGACAATGTCAAACAATTTGATGTCAAGAATGAATAATGATGGGCAAAAACGGCAAGTTTTCTTTTAAGAATACAAGGTTGTATTCAATCATCTCTGGTAAGTTAATTACCAAGTGCAGCATTTTCATCATGACCATAGCAAATAATATATGACAGTAAAGCATCGTCTAATTCATCCTACCGGGTAATTCATAGTCTAATTAAATAATCAACTTGCAAATGAGGATTTTCTTTGAAAATGTTTAAGAAAACTTCCATTCCTTCGGTTGAAAATATATATTGTTTACACTTTTCGTCATATTTTGTATTGATGCTGTTCATATGTTCACATGCCAAGTTACAGCAGTGAAATGAACCTTTCAAGTGATTGATTAAACAAATACTTGAATCATTTAAGACAATATATCTTCCATATAACTTATTCATGTATTTAAATATAAAATTTCAGAATGTGTCCTATCTCAAGGGAATGAGATGGGAATGCATCCGAAGCAAATTTCAAGAAAGAGTTAGGAACGTTTCTGAAGTATCCACCTGACCGCCAGGCAGGGAGTGGCAGAAAGAAGAGGAGCTGATAATTGTGTTTTTGGAGTTGTAATTGTGTTGAAAAATCTGAACTGTGGTATTGAAATTGGTGGCGTAAATGTCACTTTGATGCTATATGCAGATGATATTGTGTTATTAGCACAACAGAGATCACCTACAGACTATGTCATGTGTGATGTTTTACATTATGCATTAAACCACGTTTTCTGTGTGCGTGTGTGTTCATAAAGATTTCATGAAAAGTGACTTGTTTTATGTGCTGTCTCCAGGTATAGTTCCTGGTCATCTTGGATCCCTTTCATGGTGAAAGTAATTGCATTGTGTTTATTCAGGGTCTGTCTAAGAGCTGAAATTCAGACAAAATGTCTTCTTCGACAATTTTCACCTTTTCAAGGTAACAATACAACAGTAAATAGTTTTTCTTAATTTGGAATACTTTTCTTCTTACTGGAATTATACGTCCAACTGACATAAAACTTAAATGAACATTATATTGAATGTGGAATTTTAACCAAGTATTTTATCAGGTAAATATTTTTACTGCAATTTTCTGTTTGAACACTGTTTATTGCAGGTAGCTTTTTGGGTATTTTAGCTGGATGCAGGAGTTTGGTGCTACTTTATTGTAGTTTAAAGATGAAATGCGAGTCTATTTACAGGAAAGCGTAATACCTCCCAGACACAACCACGGAACAACCCATTTTCAACGTTAATAATATGTCAGACTTCAACATTGATTCCACGTCGGATATCTACGTCAAAAAACTTTCATATACAACCTATTTTCAATCTATTTTCAACGTTGAGGATCAACCTATTCTCAACGTTGATAATCGGTCAAACTTCAACGTTGATTCCACGTCGGATATCTACGTCAAAAAAACTTTCATATACAACCTATTTTCAATCTATTTTCAACGTTGAGGATCAACCTTTTTCAACGTTGATAATCGGTCAAACTTCAACGTTGATTCCACGTCGGATATCTACGTCAAAAAAACTTTCATATACAACCTATTTTCAATCTATTTTCAACGTTGAGGATCAACCTATTCTCAACGTTGAAACAACGTTGATGTGCCTGCTGGGCATGTTCAACTTGTTGGGGCACACTTACCGTTGAGAATCACCATGGACACCAAGTCTATATGTATAAGGTGTTAATCCACACTTACACTGCAAAGGGTTGAAGCTAAGGAAGGTGAGCGTGTACTACCTCCTAATAACTAGTTATTACTCTAACACGGAGAGGTGATTCGTATGCAAAGCACAAGGTACGACAAACGCACGACCCTCTTCCTATATAATGTTGTTGGGGAAATTGGGGGCAGTACGATGCGATTGCCCTTATAATTCTTAGGGCCCCCTTTACACAGGACGGCGACCGCTCTACCTTCTCTCTGCGTTCTAAAAATTACCAGGACGCTCTGCCTTCTCTCTGCGTTCTGTGGCGACTGTTAGGCAACCTGCATGCTCTAGGTATATCAGCACCTGGCTACGACATTTTATCATTAGTTCCATACGAGCAGGCTGAGTGAAATCATCGTATAACGACTTCAGTAAGCATGAACAAATAGCTTTTTTTGCAAGGTCAACAAGCATTGTTTTTCAACCAGATAGCCACTGCCATCTTAAATAGAAGGATAAATAGACGTAGAAGAAGAAGATTGAGAACCCTGTGGATCCGCCCATGGTTGATGCAACACAGACAGTTGCAATTCTGGGACTACAACCAACTGATGCAAGAACTGCGTCAAGAAGAGGAAGGGTCATTCTACAATTTTCGCCAAACAGAACACAAATTGGCGATCGAGTTTAGAGCCTGGTTTGACACTTGCCGTTACCCGGAGGTTCCTTTCGTCTAGTATCATACTTGTTTGGAGGATTGGTGTGATGTCTCATCGCAAGCTCGGCAGATCTCAAATCGGGAAATCGGGAGTACAATACGTATTTATATGTAATGTGGAAAGGCAGAGAGGAGGCAGAGTAAAAGCAGAGCGAACGCCGTGGTTGTTCAAAGGGATGCGCTAGTCGCTGAATGAAGGCAGAATGAATGCTCAACGAACGCCAATGGATGCTCGACTGTCGCACAATGAAGGCAGAGAGATGCACGGGGCAACGCAACGAAGTTTTTATGTCGCGTCCTTTCGCCGACCGTTGTGCCTTCACTCTGCGGCCTCGGCTATGGCTCTGCCTTCTCTCTGCCCTCCCTCTGCGTCCTGTGATCAATCAACCATGACGGCGACTGCTCTGCGTTTGTTTTGAGCATGTTCAATACAGTCGCCATTGCAGTGGCGTTCTGGGCCGTTCTTGGCGTTGGCTCTGCCTTCTTTCTGCCTTCATGGCGATTGCCCTGCCTTCTCTCTGCGTTCGTCGTGCCTCCTCTGAGCGTTCAGTGGCGTTCTGAATATTGTTAGAACGCGAGCGGTCGCCGTCCTGTGTAAAGGGGGCCTAACATGTTTAAATCCGCCATAACAGAGCACGTATCTACTGCCATTGAGAAGCGGAGACATCACCGAAGAAGGTAAAGATATTAATATTGCTATCTATCTCCGTTTCTCGCTTCAGTTTCGCTTCGCACAGTAACCTCTTTAACCTCTTGAACTTGGGTTATTCGGGGTAGTAATGTCCATCATGCTGTATGCGCTTGGAGTATGTCCCCGTCACGTGGAGTTCAGCGCCATATAAGTGGCCATATTATCATTAGTGTAACTTTCTAAAATGTTTTAAGACCAAATGGTGATAGCACTAACAATTTGGTTCAGGTCCGCAGTAATAGCTCTGATATTTAACCTGACTCCATGAGAACCATTATATGCGTCCGGTAGAGGCAGCCTTCAGTCTGAGCCCAGTGAACGATACACGATAGTTTCACACTCTATCCGGAGGCTACGATAGACATGGAGGTGGTTCGCTTGTTCACTACACTTGCCTTTGTAACCAGCGCCGTTGATGCTGGAGGATACCAAGGTATGGATGGAATGTTGTTTGCAAACCTGACATGTCTGCAGCGATATGAGAGCACGTTCTCAATGAATCAATAAATGAACATTCGATAATTTGTTAATGCTGTTAGAAATTAAAATAAGACATACTCAGCTGGTAAACAGCTAAAATTGCATCTACATGAACAATTATGTCCACTTCTTATCTCCCATCTATAATCTATAATGTATTTGTTGATATAAATATACTCAGCTGGTAAACAGCTAAAATTGCGTCTAAATGAACGTTTATATCCCCTTCTTATCTCCCATCTATGATCTATAATGTATTTGTTGATATAAATATACTCAGCTGGTAAACAGCTAAAATTGCGTCTACATGAACGTTTATATCCCCTTCTTATCTCCCATCTATAATCTATAATGTATTTGTTGATATAAGCTGCATGCACTTTCCAAAACTAGATGACATGCATGACTTTGATAACACTAATTGTGTTTTATGTGTCCTGATAAACAGCACCAAAACTAACTCGTATTACTCGTATTTAGCGTTATAAATAGTAAATCATAGACGATATTTCACAACTGTGCCCGTTAGTTGGCAAAGAAATAAACGTTTTTTTACTTTCATTATCCTTTCATTTGTATCCAAAGCCCCTGGAAGTTTGTGTGTGTGCGTGTGCGTGCATGCGTGCGTGCGTGCGTGTGTATGTGTGTGCATTTTGCTCCAAACTGACATTAACGTAACCAATCACGCTTAGGGTCATGTCCCGTCGGTTGGACCCAGGTGAAGAGAAAGTGCTACAAGTTCGTGGACGAGGGAGTTATCAGGGATAAAGCAGCTAGGATATGTGGAGACCGCTATGGCGCTTCACTAGCAGTGATTCAAAACATGGAAGAGAATAACGCCGTCAAAGGTATGTGGAAACAATGGCTTCTGTTCTGCATCACGAATCTACTCTCCATGTCTCTATTGAACTTACTGCCAGGTTCTACGATAACAACTCGTACATAGATGCCCCTCTTAATTTACTGCTAAGTTGTACATGTATGCCATTCATGTGATTATAACCATTGTGTAAAGTTGCACTTGAATGTCGAGTATGAACATCCTCTCAAGTTGTACTTGAGCAGCACATTTAAACATTGTCTCAATGAACAATGAATGTCATTAATGAACACTCTCATGAATTGTACTTTAATGTCGCATATTAATATTTTACAAGTTGTTCTTTAATGACTCTTATAAACATTCTCTCAAGTTGCACTTTTATAAACATTTTCTCAAGTGGTACTTAAATGTCGCTTATGAACATTCTCTTAAGTGTACTTAAATGTCGCTGATGAACATTCTCTCAAGTTGTACTTAAATGTTGCTTATGAACATTCTCTCAAGTTGCACTTTTATGAACATTTTTTCAAGTGGTACTTAAATGTCGCTTATGAACATTCTCTCAAGTTGTGCTTTAATGTTGTTCATGAAACTTCTTCCGAAATGCACTTTAATGTCATTTATGAACATTTTCTAAAGTTTCGCTTAATGACTTTATGAACATTCTCTCGGGTTGTACGTAAATATTGCTTATGAACATTCACTCAAATTGTACTTAAATGTCGCTTATGAAGATTCTCTCCAGTTGTGCTTAAATGTCGCTTTGAACAGTCTCTTAAGTTGTACTTAAATGTCGCTTATGAACATACTCTCAAGTTGCACTTAAATGTCGCTTATGAACATTTTCACAAGTTTCGCTTTAATGGCTTTAATTAACATTCTCTCAAGTTATACTTAAATGTCGCCTATAAACAGGTTCTACATCCATCTCCCTTATGCGAACATTTACACCACTGATATCCTTTCCAGATCTTCTTGGTTACACTTTTGCGTGGATCGGTCTGGATCGCAGAGGTGGCCCCTTTCAGTGGGACACTGGAGAGAAGGTGAGGAGAAAACAGCATCACCAATATCTTCTACTGGAATACAAAGTGAGGTTTGTTGGTTTGATTTTGTCATTTGTTAGGATATTTTCAACGAACAGCGGGCTTTATTCGTAAGATGCTTGGTTGGCATTTAGAAGTTAGAAGGTAACATGACAACGAATGGTATGGATTTACAACTTCTTTAATATTTACAACACGACGTTTCTGGGCTACTTCTTGCACCAATACGACGTTTCTCGACTACTTCTTGCCCCTAAAAAGTAGCCCAGAAACGTCGTGTTGTAAATATTAAAGAAGTTGTAAATCCATACCATTCGTTGTCATGTTTATTCAAGTGTTTTAGTCTTGTCTGTCTGTGTTTGATGTCATCTAGCAATCACGCAATGATACACAAAATGCACGTCACAACAGGAACTACAGGAAAACCCTGAGAAGTGCAGAGCCTAATTGATTCAGATTTGTACCTTGTACCTTGAAAACGTCAGTTATATTTCAGGAAGTTTTGCCTAACTTTATTCGCTCATTCCAACATGCCCGTATATATTATTTGCAATGTATTTTGCTAAGGTTGGTGGTGTTTATATTAGGCATCTGTTTAAGATTTATACTACAAGAGCCTTGTCTCAAATAAGCACCCTGTTCAGTGTGTTCATTCGGAAAATTTCGCTTGGTATCCCATTTCTCCATTACACCTGTTAAAGCGACTCACACTGAGGCTATGCGAAACCGAGAAACGAAATCCTGCTCTATTGCTGGTGCCCAGTGAGGAATATATTTAACGTCCGATTTGACCGATGTCAGTTGGAACAGGTGACTAAATACATAGATTATATTGGTCTGGCTCCTCACTCTGTCAATCGCAGGTTTGTCTGGCTGTTGTAGAAATGGTAGGACAATTGGACAAAACATGTCATCCATGTATCGTCTTCCCCTCTCCATAACACCCGTTCCACCATACGGTCCGGCCTACTGTCCGTAACATGCCACCAATCGTTGTCCCCCTCGGCGGGAAGGGCCCTGTCACACTTCTGCGTATCCTAATTCCTTATGAGTTCATTGACATTTCTTTCATACGCAGTTGTACGAACAATACGCACGTTATATGCATCTTAATCGTTTTGTGTAGGTTTTATGAACGCCGCAATGCGCACAGTACGACCAGTACGCGTGATCGTTTTGAGCATGCACAAAACTATGCTGCGTACGCTGTTATGCTGCTCTTATAAGTTATGAATACGCAGATAATCGGTTCTGCATCGGTCGAACGCGGTACGAGCTATGTGTTCGTCTGGCTAAGCGGTTCACACGCGGCAATACGCTGATCCGTCGGCACTAGCTGTGAGCCGCGTATATTGGACATATACATAGCGTACTTGCAGCGCAGATACAACGCACGTTGAGCGAACTCCTAGCGAATGCCGACGTATTGCAGGAATAAGTACGGTTTGTCCTGCGATCGGGCGGCACATTGTACCTATTTGTAACTCACGACAAACGCACAGATAGCGTACAGACACAGGGAACATCCAGGGTACACTAGAGATTTGGTATAAATATGATGACAAAAGGTTGATGGTCACGCTATGGAATCTGCAATGGAAACGAAAACAGCGGGAAGCAGCTGCCTTTCCATTACATCAGGAATACGCTCGGAATACACCTGGTATTCAGCGGAAGTGTGTCAAGCATGCGGTCGGCATAAGTTGTGTGCGTTCGGAATACGCTTGGCATGCGCACTGAAAATGCTGCTATTTGCCAAGAAAAATAGAATTACGCAAATCTTTCGCAATGGATGCGCTGAATTCGTTATTTAGACGCTAGATGTGCATCACACATAAGTCAAAGTAATCGAAAATGTTCGCAATTTTGAGCGTACGGGCTGCGTATTGAATATTTTATAAGTAACTCATAAGGACTTGATATACGCAAAAATGTGACAGGGGCTTTTAACAGACCATCAGTGAAGATACACACTGAAGTTGCAAATCACGTACAGCGACGTACAATGCCACCCATCTCTGACGTCTAACCGTCGTGCAATTCCTTAGGCCGTGATCCCATAGAGGACTGGCCACCGTCTGTCGACTAACCACGTGCCACAGGCACCAGTCGATTCCGAAGATGCAAAGTACGCTAGAACCCAAGGTGTGAATATCCTTGGCCTGTCGGATGTGTATCTATGTGTAACGGTGCATCATGCTAGATACATAACAGGAACACGGGAGCAACTAAACGTTGGGACAATGTGGGAATGAATGGCGCTACCGTCTATATGATACCTGGGCCCGCTGGCGTTGGTCTGGCGGATTTCACGGCATTTAGGTCGTGTCTCCTTTTAACGAAATGATTGTTCCCCATGTCTCCGTTTCATTTCTTTTCCCGGGTTGCACGTGTATGTTCAGTTGCCCATCTTTTATTTTCTACAAAATCAAGAAAACGCGTCCGTGGACCTGATTAGATAACAGGATTGTCTGGTCCAGACTCGATTATTTATAGACCGCCGCCATATAGCTGGAATATTTCTGAGTGCGGCTCAAAACGCAACTCATTCACTCACTGCTTTGAGCATCGCTGTCTTTGAAGTGATTTAGTGTGGGTTTTTTTCATTATTGCAATTTCATTTTAAAATGTGATGTTTCTTTTGGCAGTAGGTTAAAACCATGGGGTCTGCTGGCAGATTGACAAACAACAATTGGCTAATTAATGAATAGATACAGGATGTTTCGACACTCCTGTTTTAAAACGTTAAACCGAATTATGGAAAATCCATTCACATATTAAATGTATAGTTTAATCAAAAGTAAAAGTTATTCAAACTTTTCTAACGGGGCTTCAATGACTTTATTATATTATAAATAATGACTTAATATGAAAAAAGCAATATATCTCCCATATGTTTCAGCATTCAGAAGTTCATATAGTAAAAGTTATAAGCATAGTATTTGATATTTCGTATATATCTACGTCCGGTTAACAATATGTGTACTTCAAACAGAAAAAGTAAGATGGCAGGGGTTCTAATCATGTTTATACAAAATGGTCCAAACATAAATGAATACATGTATATTTAAACCTGAAATAATCATTATATTTATTTTCAGCTCCGTTTTCAAAACTGGCGCAGTTCGTATTATTATCCTTACAAAGAATGCGCAGAGATTTACAACAATGGCTACTGGAGGCCTGCATATTGTATTTCCTCCGGGCCATTTTTCTGTGGGAAAACATTAGGTGAGAAGCACGCACGACGGTCCATCAGGTGTACTTTATGATGTACTCCATAAGGTGTACGATATATACTGATGATCATAATAACAAACATAAAGCAACAAAACCCTTCCTTTTTCAGTTAACGTATGTGTCCTGATGAATTTCTATGTTTGATAGCATACTTAATAGATATTATTACTGATATAATGATATGGTAAACAAATCCAATATGTTTAGCAATAGAAACGACAAAACCTTTTTCACATTCGTAACAAATCTCTGCTGAAAGCAGTGTCGATTGTACAATTGTGACTATATCATGAGCATATATTTGTTTCAGCAGCATTACAGCTGCATGATGTTGTTTGTAAACAAATCGTGTCTGAACCAGACAATCCAGTGATTGTCACCATACGATACGATGACAGAGCATGTGTGTATGAATCAATATGAAATAATATGATACCAGGTGTTCGCAAAAAGGTGAGCGTATCCTGCCCCACCGATGGCACTCGTCATAAACACATGCTAAGTCTAGTCAATTGATCATCTGAAATAATTCGTGAACGTACGGTATAAGTCAAAATAGGGAATTGCATTGGACATAATTTTTTGGTCAATATGAAATAGTAATGATACCAGGTGTTCGCAAAAAGGTGAGCGTATCCTGCCCCATTGATGGCACCCGTCATAAACACATGCTAAGTCTAGTCAACTGATCATCTGAAATAATTCGTGAACGTACGGTATAAGTCAAAATAGGGAATTGCATTGGACATAATATTTTGGTCACTGATGCATCAAATTTGGAAGTTTTCTCCACATGTCCACCATAAAACTGCTTGAAAGCTTTACTGAGGCCTTGCATTTTATGACCTTGATTAAACAACCTCTGAGCAAAAGTGATATGATGCTCTTTGAAATCATGATGAAAAAAGCACGTTCGATTGCACCTCAAAAGTTGTGAAATGTAAACACCAAAGGCTGGAGTTGTTTGAATATTGCTAGACATGAAAGGGAAATTGACGATTGGAAAGTTGAAATCCCCATTTTTGTCATACAGCTTTGTGGGGAGTTTTTGTGACTCTGAATATTTATGCATAGATCTTAATATGAAACAGTTAAGGCGGTCTAATTTGTTTCCTTAATTTCAGATGGGTAAATCAGTGGAAGTGAATTGGCTATGTGGTGGTTATTGAGCGATATTAGATCACCGATGTACCGGAAGCTTAACTTAAACTTCTTGGCCAAATAACCTTGATTTGATTGTGCCAACCCAAGCAGAAATTCTGCTTCATATGCATAAAGAAACAGATCCGCAAGGACAGGGAGCACAATTAGTGTCCCATGGGGATGCCTATTTCTTGGCGAAATGTTTTACCCCCAAATGAGTTGTCGTCTCCAATATGTATATATGCAATATGCTTTGGGTTTTTTGGGTTTTTTTTGTTGTTGTTGTTTTTGGGGTTTGTTTTTTTTGGGGGTTATTTTGCATTTGTTTTTTTTTTCTTTTAGGGGATGGGGTAGGTGTTGTAATTATAATTTTATTCCTGAAACCCCTGTTACAGACACGACTCAGCAGACAGGGAACTGCAAAGTTAGAAGATATAAAACAAGTCTAATGGGATACAGGTGTATATTTTATGTAACAATACAAACCATTCACACAAACACAAGTATATTTTTAAGCATCGAACAACTTGATTAAGAAAATAATAATTCAGTCAGAGCACTGAATGTGACTTGGATGAGAAAGTTAGTTACTAAAGATCCCAAGTAGAAATATATTCTAAATGCTAGTTATTGCAATTGTAGCGATTCGGAATTTGATAAAACTGGCAAAGGATTCTTGAAGAAAAGTATCAGTAATTTTTAAAATCCCTTCTAGATTTTATGATGATTCAAGTAAAATTAAACCAGATAATTTAAGGATTTCTTGTCCGATGATATATTCTATAATAGTAATATTGTTATTGATAAGAAAACATTTTTTGACAGGTAGTTTCAAAAGGGTATCTCTCAAATTTGTGATATTGTTGATGAACATGGCAGTTATCTGTCATTGTTTGATTTTAATGAAATGTATCAATTGAATGTATCTTTTTTAGAATACTATGGTGTCATTAGCTCTATAAGAAAATATTTTACTGGTTTGTTAATAGTGAAAGATGACACCATATATGCAATATGTTGTTCCATTCAATCAAGGCCCCACCCGACATGTTAACGGCTGATGAAAGAATAGGACTATGCTCCAGAACGTTGTGTTCCACATCATGCAGAAAACGACAGAGATAACCCCACCACACACACCCCACACACCCCACACACCCCGACACCCCACCTCTCCACCACCCTATTCCTGCTAAGAAGGTGGACATTGCCAATTTTGACTTATCGGTGACTAGACCGTGTCCGATGCCATTCTCTATTTTGACTTAAAGTAAAGTTCCCTTTTTTAGGTAATTGACTTGCCTGTGCATGTGTTTTGACGGGTGTAACCGCCATGGTAGAATACGCCCAACTGGGATCACCAAAGCCAAATAGTGTAATGCATGCTCATTCCATAGGTGAACTTAAACGAGGTACCCTGCTTTTTGTCTTTTGAATATGGAAACGGAAATTGTCTCCTTCAATCATTTGAACGTATTAGAAGCTAGATAGTGTACAGGGTGTACAATAAGTATTGCTGATAATACATTTGTGTATTGATAACGTGTATGTTTTCCACTTAAATACACAGTATCTCATAGTTAATATGTATATATCCGATGTTATTTCAGATTGTGAAACGGGATGGTTAGGAAATGAATGTGAACGTCAGTGTCACTGTCACCTTGGTTACGTCTGTAATGATACAGAACCTTGTCCCTATGGATGTGAGCCGGGGTGGCATGGGGAAATGTGTGACGAAGGTGAGTAAGAGGTAAATGCTAGTCTGTCGTACAGACCCTGAAGTAAATATATCCAAGAAAGCCCACGCAAGTCTAGAAAATGTGGCAAGTCTAGATTTCCTAGGCTTCAAATGAAGAAAGTCTCAGGGCTCCTTTTCATTATATACTTTTTTTTTTTACTATGAACTTATTTTCAGTAAAATATGTTCATTTCAGAGACTAGTTGTTAGTCTAGGTAAATGCATACGACCTCAATTAAAGTCCAATCGCATAGATTCACTTCCGGTTTTACAGTGACGATTATGTTCTTTGTATTGGTCGTGTCATGCTTTGCTTGTCGGAGTCCGACCAAAGTCGATTTGAGTGAGGTGAGGTGAAATTGGGTTTAACGTCGTGCTTGAGAATATTTCGCTCATATGACGACGTGCATGCATGTGTATGTATGTGCGGCTGCTTGTACTAGCCAAGACTGAAGCTGGTTTTATAGTGCTAGCCCACTGAGATACCATGCCGCAGTGAAGCATGAATACCCCACTCAGACACATTATACTGACACCGAGCCGACCAGTCCTTGTTGTACCCAATAATGCCGAGCGCCAGGCAGGAAAGTCGATTTGAACTGACTCTCAGATTATATTTTAGATTCATGACTTATTAACAGATTATTTCATAATGCGACCTGGAAACAGTTTAACTTGCAATTGTAACTGTAGATATTTAAGCATTCAGCCCCAATTTCATCTAACACTTGACATGCATTAATGCGTTCACTTGTTTTCCAGAATACCAAAAACCAAACGGTAAGAGGCATTTTCTATACGTCCTTTCATAACATTTACGAGTTCGAGTTTTAAATTAAACTCTCAATGTTACCAAATACGTGACTTTGAAAACCTCTGAAATCAGCCATTTTCAATCTTTTTAGTTTTACTTATGCAGTAGTGTTAACGTTGATATTAGTGATTCCAATACATTCAATTCTTGAATGTTCTAGTTCTCATTCACATGAATACAGTTGAAAGTTTCCAAAGTTCAAAACATAATGTTAATCGTGAAGGTCCTGGTTAGAATATTGGCCTTCAGTTGCGTTCAGTTACAACCCATGCTAGTAAGAGGCGACTAACGGGATAGGGTGGTCAGGCTCGCTGACTAGGTTGACACATGTCATCGGTTCCCAATTGCGTAGGTCGATGTTCATGCTGTGAACCACTGGATTGTCTGGTTCAGACTCAACTATATACAGACCGCCGATATATAGCTGGAATATTGCTATCGGAGTGATTTGTAAACCTAAACTCACTCACTCACTCAAAACGTAACGTTCAAGTCAAATTAAACATACCCTGTTGGCCACACAAGGCCTAAATGCCCCAGTTCTGTTGCAGTTCTCAGACTCATATATGTAAATACCCACCCCGTAATTAATTTGGGATGCACATGACAATCACATTCTCTGCGTCACTATCATTGCTACCGGATGTTCACTTCATGTATTCGGCAGAGCAATTTCATAACTTGATGTACCCTGTAATATGTGATTTCAGTGTCATTCTACTGCTTGAAGAAAAAAAACGGAAGCTACTCCCTGATAGTTTCCGTGGTCCCATCTGGTCTTTCCTACAAACACATCGGAGCTGTGAACGCCGAGGGAGAGATCAGTCCCTTGTGCACTAACGATAGATTTAGAACAACCAATGACCTTGAGAAGCGTTTAGATGTTCAGATTCAAAACGTGTCAGGAGTGTTGAAAGCAGATTGTCCTGCAGAAACAGTAAGTATGCAATGTGCAATGTGAGTTGTTCCACAAAGAATATGCAGAAGACCAGCCTCGGGCAGTAGGTGGCCAGGGGGTACAGACACATTACGTTTGGTTATTTTTTTCCACAAATCCTTAGGTTTCTCACAGGATCCTGCAATGGACATTGAGATTCCAGAAGAAGGATTGGGTGGAATCAGCTGAAGATGTGGAATATAAAGTCCAGTGTGATCTGTCTGAAGCTGATGCTACATATGATGCTGAACCTATCGTGATAGAAGAGTAAGGATATTCTGTTCGTATTAATGTTGTATCATTAATGTTGTATCACTATCAGGCATAAAGTATTGAACGCACAGCACTAGTAGAAAAGCAGAATAAAAAGGTTTCTCATAACCGTCGTAATTTAAGGGATATTCATGTAATTGATGGTAAGCAGCTCTCATATTAATGGGTCCGGAGCAGATTTTGTTTGTGGAGATGTTAGGTTCGTGAATAACTTGGGTACGCACATAATTTCCTGAGCTGTAGATAAAAGCCTTGTGATTAATAACAGCAAAATTTCTTCTGTTGGAAGTTCCAAAAGCGTTCTTTGAAAGGTCATTACAGGTCCTAGATACCTCTCGATCGTATGAATATACACAGGTCATACGAATCAAGTAAAACAGTCTTCATTTTCAATACACTGTTTTATGTACTAGGAAGTTTATGTTATTTGTTCAGGGGTCGTGAGAGAACTATGACGATAGCTACACAAACAAGAGTCAAAGTACGGGCATATCTAGCAAATCCTGAAACTCTGGAACCGGTCACAAACCTCATCCTTGGTGTACCTGTGAGACTGGTGGTCACGCTTCCTGAAGGTTTGATGAAATCAAGCATGTCATTTCTGATACAAAATATACAGGAATCACGGGTAGAATTGTTACGATAATCAGCATTTCTGAACGACTGCTTTGGGAAGATTTATTTCACTCATGTGGTATGGTACATGATGATAACAATGATTTGGGGGAGGTTCACGACTCAGAATCAAACTCGGTAGCTGTCTGGGAACAGGTCTTCGAAAGACGAAGTTTATGGTGCATGGTGTTTTTGATTCAGAGACACATTTTTCTGTGAATGTCAACAGGTAAATCATGTCAGTTTGATTACTATCCAGATGGGAATGAATCTGTGGACTTGTCCAATCTCAATGTGTCTTTCTTCGGTTTAACTTGCCTATCTTCATGTACCTTAGGTGATGATGTTGTCAGCCCGTTCTTTTACCCTCGGACCTGTAAAGCAGCCGCTACAGATGGGACGGTTTCTTTCCAAATGACCAACTCCAAAGGGTCAGTAAGCAGAAGTAAATGACCCACTTTACGCCTTATAATGAAAACAAAACATATTCAAGGGCAAAAAATTTTGAACAATCTAGTAACTTGATCAAATGAAATATCCTTCTAATATTTTTTCTAGGATTTTAACAAGTGTGTTGAACGGTCAGCTGAATAGTATCAAACTTGATAAGGTCTTTGTGTTTTACAACTTAGACGTCTTCTTCTTAGCTTGAACGTTTAGACGGATTAAGTTGGCCATGGGCTGTTTTAAGAGTATCCAAGAAACATGTATATCCTAATACTTTTCTAAAATAGATCTGATTTCATCGCAACTTGTTTTGTTTTATTTTTGAAAAAGTTCAGATACGTTTAAACTTCCAAAGAACCACAAGCCTATATAAACTGCAACTAGTGATACTAGTAATGGCGTTATGTGTCAGCAGATTATAAATTAATGATAATGTCAAGTTCGTTTGTAGGTGTACACGTGTTAGGTGAGCTACACTTTTAATGAAAACTGCAATTCTTGTTTCCCGGAGTCTACGTCTACTTATTTTTAGTGATCTATTTCAGCTGCCCTAAAAATGAAAACGAAATCTTTCTGGGCAAAATGGACATGGCCTCTGGCGTGATCCAGTCGGAGATGTTCCCCATGTTTAGGCTGCGGGGATTCACAGAAGTGGTGTTTAGTTGTACTCTTGCAGTACCCAATGTGACTCATGTAGAATATCAGAAACCGGTAAGTGTTATTTAAATTTTTAAATTTACATTTCTTATTGATGTAACTGAGAGAGTTTTGCTTTACGTTACAGACAGCAATGTTCGAGTCCTATCTCGTCAGCATGTTAATGACCGCATGGACAAGGCAGACCTCTGGCTGTTGGTACCATATCTTATATTCGGGCCTATACTTCCTCAGTAAAGTTGATATCTTGTACATTGCGGGGCTGAGACACTTCCGTGAGACAAAGTCACAGCGATCTAGCCCACTCATGTGAGCATGTGGGTTCGAATCCAAGATCGGACTAAACTCACCAAAACAATGTCGGTAACGAATGATAGATGACCGGGATTGTATCACAGGTTCTCGTGTCTTTGCGAAGATTACTTTTAAAAATATATATATAAACATTTGAGATGACCCCGACTCGAAATGCTTCACAGTACAATACATCATGACAAGGCCGGACACTTCGGTGCACCCCGCCCGACTGCTTTGCCGTTCGTTACGCTACTATCGCATGCAATCGATTAAAACTTAATGTAAATATAATCATGGATGATTGGCCTATCGAGCACCACTCATGACACATGCCAATTCTTTATTGTTATTTCTGCAAGTCAATTGAAACCCGATGTTGACTCTCAACTAAATGAGCTTGACACATATGGATGACGATATGTCCGCACAATACGGGGTGTGGTAGAAGCAAGCCCCCTGATTGGTCAACGCCTATAAATCTGCCCAGTCTTTACAAAATCGCGGGAATTTTTACTTTCATCGACTGCTTGACTTGGAAATGTAAGAATCTTTTTTCTAGCAATGGCTTCTCAAAAGAAAGCATCAGGTATAAATGTCTCCTTAACAAGCGTCAGCCAATGAGAGGGCTTGCTTCGACCACACACCAATTTGTGCGGATACATCGTCATCCTTTTGTGTTATCACTGGATCGTCTGGTCCAGACTCGATTATTTACAGACCGCCACCATATAGCTGGAATATTAATGAGTGATGCGTTGAAGAATCTTGCGTTCTTGATAAAGCAATTGATATTTCGTAAAACGAGACGGATTTGAATCATACCAAGATGTAATAAACTGAATCACGTAACGATGTCACACATGTCAAATGCTAACATGATTATATTGACTATATTCCACAGATTTGTTCCTGGTAGCAAATATACATGGAAGTTGAGAGGCCCGCGGCAAAGGTCAGTGTAGCATGAAGACATACATGTCAAGCATTAAAACCTAGAGACATTCAACACGTAAGCTGATCTTCACAATATCGCAATACTGGGGTTACAGAGGGTTTGGAAGGTTTCTGGCAGTTAGTACTATCCTGAGTATATGCTGAAAATAAATTCAAATATTAACGAGAAATAGTTTCACTTATATGAAAGTGATCTATACGTTTACAAGTCTTCGTTATAAACTACAGGTAGTGAAATAAACAAAAAACTTTCATTTTAAGCAAGAGGTAATATATATGAAAAGCACTTGTTTTAAAAATAAAAGATTCTGTGTTCATTTTGAACTAGTGGGTACTAGCTACGTAAACCAACAATCAATTTAAACTATGGGTATAAATACAAACATTTTACGATGTTCATTAGTTAATTCCTGCCATCGTGTGTATTTATTTCAGAAAATACCAGTACTAATCGACAGCAGACCAGTTTGTAAACAGTGAGTTGATGCACCGGCCAATCAACATCTTTCATAAAGTTTGTTTCTGACACTTGAAATAAACAATATAATCTGTATACATGGATTCCTTCATCTTGTTGACTGTATTTTCACAGCCAAACCCCCTTGAAGTACACAATAAGGGTCTTAAGTTTGCATACGAATCGGTTTACTATCTCCAACGTAATATAGTAGAAAGATAGTGGTAGAAGTAGTAAAAGTGAAGGACAGTAGTCATAGAATCGGAAGAAAGACCCGTGAAGATGGAGTAAGAAATGGTTTTCATCAACACATACATTTCGTAAGAGGCGACTAACGGATCGGGTGATCAGGCTGGCTGACTTGGTTTACACATGTCATCGTATCTCAATTATGTAGATCCATGATCATATTGTTGATCACTGGATTGTCTGGTCAAGATTCGATTATTTACACACAGCCGCTATATAGCTGGAACATGACTGAGTGCAGCGTTAAATAATCAAACCATACCAGACCCAAACCAGAAGCGGTAGTGACAGCAGCAGCGCTAATGGTTGAAGAAGCAGCAGCACTAATGGTTGGAGAAGCAGCAGCACTAATGGTTGGAGAGGCAGCAGCACTAATGGTTGGAGAGACAGCAGCACTAATGGTTGAAGAAGCAGCAGCACTAATGGTTGGAGAAGCAGCAGCACTCATGGTCGGAGAGGCAGCAGCACTAATGGTTGAAGAAGCAGCAGCACTAATGGTTGAAGAAGCAGCAGCACTAATGGTTGGAGAGGCAGCAGCACTAATGGTTGAAGAGACAGCAGCACTAATGGTTGAGGAAGCAGCAGTACTAATGGTTCAAGAAGCAGCACTCACGGTTGAGTAGCAACAGCACTAATGGTTCAAGAAGCAGCAGCGTTAATGGTTCAAGAAGCAGCACTCACGGTTGAAGAAGCAGTATCAGGTGTAGTAGTGGCAGCATCAGGTGACAGGACATGCAACATAAAGGAAACCACCTACAAACGTCAAGAATGCTCTTGATTGTGAATACGTGTGTTGTGCCCTTAAATGAAGAATGGTCTTAAGTGAAGAATAGTCATGAAAATTCATCAGTGGGCGGAGCTTATGTGCTACGTCATATACACGGCCTAGTATCTTCCGCAGAACAAATGAAGGGAACGGCGTCACAACATACGTGATGGTACTGGAAGCTCGCAGTTATTGGCTCTGTTCGGATAGGTATACAGTCAGTACTTGGCTGCTACACATGATCATATGGCTAGTGCATCATTTTATGACTGTTTCAGTCATTTGCTGCCACTGAGAATCACCACAACTATACTGACTGACTGAGTTTGATTTTACGCCGCTTTTAGCAATATTCCAGCAACATCACGGCGGGGGACACCAGAAATGGGCTTCACACATTGTGCCCATGTGGGGATTCGAACCACAACTATACTTACAACAAACTCGTCTGCAACGTGACATGCTGTCACAGTAGAAACAGGGATTGTCGATGTAGCGGATTTGGCAAAGTTAATAAAAAATGAGGAATATAGATTGCAAGCACGCACACATACACGCACTCCTTTGAGGTTTTATTTAATTTTTGGTTGATAAACATTTATAATTAAGATAATTTTATTTCTGGAACTGATTGTCAGTCTACTACAAACAACAAGAGACTCTGGGGATTCGAATCCTCACCTCATCGCCAGGCACCTGATCACCCGCACACAGCGGTTTCGAAACAAATGGAAGTCCTGTGCATAGTTTGTTTAGCCCTCTGACATGTCTAAATTGGCAAACCGATTGTGAAGTAACCGGTCAAGTCAGGCCTCGTGTATTCCATACAATGGTTTCCATGAAGTGATCGGAACCTGGATGATCCCTCTGGTGTTGAATGTTGTTGCTGCTTTAACTATATGTTGTCAAGGGAGCTAACTGACATCATCATGCTTCTTAAGACCGCTAACAAAACCAGCACGGATATGCGTGTGCCACTCTCAAACAAATTGCACTATATTTCAATAGAAATACAAACGACATCCTTTCAAATACACAGAAACGTATTTCTATCTTAGTGAACACACATCTGCAGCCAGAGAGAAACTGAGACATCAACCAAGCTGGTATGTATAGGTTAATCACCCTTAGAATAACTACCGTAGTGTGGGGATTACACGGCTCACACCACGAGGGCATACTTAGTTAATACGCGTGTAATGTATTAGGCATGATGAAGATTAATCAAATAAGTACAATTTTTTGTTTTTTATATAGAAATAATTGCCCTAGGTCAGTTAATCAGTGTCCTAGGTCAGTTAATCAGTTATGCTAATAAAACACTTCCAAGAACAAAGGACATAACTTTCCCTAGTGGTTTATCAACTTTAGACGCCCTTGCCAAAACTCAATCTGTATAACGCGTTTGCGTTTATTAAGTTCAGGAAGTCTGAAAAAAATATTTAAAGGCTCTAATAATGTTTAATATGTTCCGACTGGCTGTAATAGCGCTGATATTAACCCCGACACCATGGAAGTCATTATCTGCGTCCGGTTGCCTGTGACCAGCCAGTAATTCAGCACTGTGTGCGTAGATGTCGAATGAAATGGAGGTTGTCCTTCTGTTCTGTTTACTTCCCCTTCTGACCATCGCTGCTGACAATGGACAACACCAAGGTATGAATTAAGGCTTATTTGCAAACAAACTCCGCTTATTAAATAAATATTCATTTATTTTGCATAAAAGCTTGAGACATTATGTGTCCTAGTCAGGTGGAATGACGTCAGAAGTTTACTGATTGAGTCAACTGACGAAATATCTTGATTATGGTTCTAATTACAGAAATACTCTCAACCTCCAAATGGACATGCTCTCTAACTTGGTTGACACATGTTATCGTACTGTTGATCAGCTTGGTTATTTACAGACTGCCACCATATAGCTGGAATATTTCCCAGTCTGGTGTTAAACAACAAACAAGCAAACGTGATTTTTTAATTTATCGACCACAACGGATGATTTTGCAATGCATGTTTACCTGTGATGGGTCTTCTTGGAGGCAAACATCCCAATGTTCTTCTGTCAGATTGCCCCGAAGGCTGGATAGTGGTGAACAGAAAGTGCTACAAGCTTGTGGAAGAAGCAGTTGATAGAGACACGGCATCTTCCAGATGCGAATCCCGCTTTGGTGCTAAGTTAGCAGTCATTGAGAGCGAGGAAGACAATACTGGAGTGAAAGGTATGTTGGTCCTGCATTCTGTGATCCATGATACCTGACCTGACAATGTAAGCCAAACAAACACTAACGCTAGTATTGTTAAGACGTTAACAATACAACATGCAATGGAATAATGACAGAGAAAAACATACCTACCTGTCACATTCTTCCAATTGTTTTCTATGGATTAGTTTCCATAGTTACATATGTATGTATGTATGTATGTATGTATGTATGTATGTATGTATGTATGTATGTATGTATGTATGTATGTATGTATGTATGTATGTATGTATGTGTCTGTCTGTCTGTGTATGTGTGTGTGTACGTACGTGTGTGTGTATGTATGTATGTGTATGTATGTGTGTATGCATGTATGTATGTGTGTGTAGGTATGTATGTGTGTGTATGTATGTGTGTATGTATGTATGTATGTATGTATGTATGTATGTATGTGTGTGTACGTGCGTGCGTACGCGCGTGCGTGTATGTGCATATATGTCCCTCATAAATTACTTTAACTTAAGTCATATTGATCGTTTCTAGATCTGATCCATGGTCACGGGAACGCGTGGATCGCTCTATATTGGACTGGCCGATATTTTAGGTGGGACCAAACAGATCAGGTAAGTAAGGAGCAACACCACATCACAAAATAAAGGCCTGCGTTCGACTATCGACATAGGTAAAATCATGAAGTCAGTTTCTGGAGTATTGCTAGAAGTATGCTCAGGCAGTCAGTACCATGGCTTAATTTTGGAATGACATCAGCTGATGAGGGAGATGATTGCTCTGCTGTGTTTCCAAGGTTCGTATGAAGAGCATATCAGTTGAACGGACCATTAGTGGGTCCAGTTGATTCTATTGATGAATAGAGTTGACTTTGCAGGTCGCCCTATATGCGTGTGACTAGTAAAAAGTATTTTGCGATTCTAATGTAACGTCGCTTGGAAGGGGCTTAGTCATGATTTGGGGCGGGATCAGTAGATATGGAAGAAACGACCTTTATGTTCTACAACGACGCACGATGACAGGCTTCTGGGATGCGTACGAGACACCTTATACTGTTATGTTCTAATTCGCTTCACTCAAACGAACATGAAACATTTACCAAGTACAACATACTCATAATACAGGGAGCTGTCTACCGCGCCTCGAGAGCGAGCAGGTTTATTTCTGAAACTGACATAGCAAAAACTCATCGACACGGATCACAGATATAAATATGCGATAAACGCAATCGGATATCCTTCCATAGTTCGCACTAACACAAATCCGGATCTCCACGTAATCATGCATCCTTGATTCTTGTATACATCTGAGACGACTCAGCCCTGATCTGAACTGCCTCTGAAACAATGTGCATAAGAGCCATCGATACAATTGCAAACTTCATCAATAAGTAACTCTGAAGTTGACTTGACTGAAATGGAAATATAATCCCTTGCTTTACTAAATATTCGGGAACATAACCAATCGATACTTTGAACATTTGCAAGTAACTACAGTAAAAACAAATCATTTTAGACCCACACAAGAATTGCCAGCCTAAACATAAAGCATACTTAACTTAGAATATTGACCGTTCCACTCCATAAGATTCGTCTCTGTTGAGTCGTGCAGCACATGCCTCCACGGTAGTCGGTCTAGACTACCGTATTCACCCTAGATAAATTTATCTGCAGTCGGACCTGATTTCATCTTTGTGGAAGGTAGTGCACCATCTCGTCTCTCATGAGTGACCAACCAGGTGACCAGACATTAGCCAGACTTTCGCTTTTCTTACTAAAAATCCAGGCACAAACATGAATCTATGCTATCTTCATGTTAATAAATCAATTTACTCATTTACTTTTGCCCTAAAATATCATATTGATACAAATTAATAAAATGATGTTCTTTTTCTACTCAGTATCATTTGGGATTTGCAAACTGGCAGGGATCTCGCCATGGTAGAAGGTCCAGAAAACACTGCACAAAGATACTCGACACCGGGATTTGGAATGCCGAGTATTGTCATGTAGAATACCCCTATGTATGTTTCAAAAAAGCTGGTAAGACCTTTTCACTCTACACAATACATTAAGTGCACTAAGTTATGCAAGTATACAAACACAGCGAAACAAATTAGAACATCGTGGATTTGTTATAGACATGGACACCTTGAAGCTATAGTTTACACATGGTCTGTCCTATATATGCACACCTTGGAGCTATAATTACAGCTGATCTGTTCTACACATGGACACCTTGAATCAGCTATATTGACAGGTCTGTTCTACACATGGACACCTTGAAGCTATATGTACAGGTCTGTTCTACACATGGACACATTGAAGCAATATTTTACAGCATGTATGTTCTACACATGGACATCTTGAAGTTATATTTACAGGTCTGTTCTACACATGAACTCCTTGAAGCTATATTTAACACCTGGTCTGTTCTGAACATGGACGCATTTAATCTTTGTTTATGGGTCTGTTCTACACATGGACACCTTGAAGTTATATTTACAGGTCTGTTCTACACATGGACACCTTGAAGGTATATTTACAGGCCTGTTCTACACATGGACACCTTGAAGGTATATTTACAGGTCTGTTCTACACATGGACACATTGAAGGTATATTTTATACCTGGTCTGTTCTACACAGGGAAACCTTGAAGGTATCTTTTATAACTGGTCTGTTCTTCACATGGACACCTTCAAGCTATATTTACAGGTCTGTTCTACACATGGACACCTTCAAGCTATATTTACAGGTCTGTTCTACACATGGACACATTCAAGCTTTACTTTCACCAGGTCTGTTTTACACATAGACACCTTCAAGCTATATTTACAGGTCTGTTCTACACATGGATACCTTCAAGCTATATTTACAGGTCTGTTCTACACATTGACACCTTCAAGCTTTATTTTCACCAGGTCTGTTTTACACATGGACACCTTCAAGCTTTATTTTCACCAGGTCTGTTTTACACATGGACACATTGAAGCTACATTTACAGGTCTGTTCTACACATGGACACATTGAAGCTATATTTTACATCATGACTGTTCTACACATGGACACCTTGAAGCTATATCTGCTGTCTGCTATTTCAGTGTATAAGCCTGGATTGACAGGAGATTACTGTAGACTGAAGTTAATATCTGCTATTTCAGTCTGTAAGTCTGAATGGATGGAGTATTACTGTAGACTGAATCTACTATCAGTTGTTTCAGTATGTAAGCCTTGATGGACGTAAATTACTGTAGACTGAATCTACTATCTGCTGTTTCAGTATGTAAGCCTGGATAGACGGGACATTACTGTATGCTGAATCTACTATCTGCTATTTCAGTGTGTAAGCCTGGATAGACGGGACATTACTGTAGACTGAATCTACTATCTGCTATTTCAGTGTGTAAGCCTGGATAGACGGGACATTTCTGTAGACTGAATCTACTATCTGCTATTTCAGTGTGTAAGCCTGGATAGACGCGACATTACTGTAGACTGAATCTACTATCTGCTATTTCAGTGTGTGAACCTGGATGGACGGGATATTACTGTAGACTGAATCTACTATCTGCTATTTCAGTGTGTAAGCCTGGATAGACGGGACATTACTGTAGACTGAATCTACTATCTGCTATTTCAGTGTGTAAGCCTGGACGGGACCTGGACTGACGGGACATTAGTGTGTAGACTGAATCTACTCTACCATCTGCTATTTCAGTGTGTAAGTGGAAGCCTGGACATTACTGTAGACTGAATCTACTACATTAAGCCTGATAGACGGGACATTATTGTAGACTGAATCTACTATCTGCTATTTCAGTGTGTAAGCCTGGATGGACGGGACATTACTGTAGACTGAATCTACCATCTGCTATTTCAGTGTGTAAGCCTGGATAGACGGAAATTACTGTAGACTGACTCTACCATCTGCTATTTCAGTGTGTAAGCCTGGATGGACGGGACATTACTGTGAGCGCGAGTGTCACTGCTACGCGGGCTATCTCTGTAATGGAACCGAAGCTTGTCCGTATGGGTGCGAACCAGGATACAGCGGAGATATGTGCGATGAATGTAAGTAAAAAGTAACTGGTTATCCAATGTACCCGTATTCCTCATGATTATGTCCAGTTGCACTGGGTTTAGCAACAGGAATTCTTTAGTGTACAAGGATACGGGTGTTATTTTCTTGTGTCATATATCGGAAACAAGGGTCAGGCCAGACATCAAAATTGCATTAAAATAAAGTCTCGACACTTAAGGCATGTTATAGAAAGTTTCAAGATTTGGGTTGACTGTTGTGTTTGGTGAAGTGGATTCCCGGAGCCTGTATTTTCTTTTGCATATATTGACAGCAGCATGTCTACCAATTCATCACCCAAGGCATATATTTTAGCCGAAATGCTAATGACGAGGCGCGGTTACAACTACAAGTAATTGTCTTTCTTAACGGGAGTTAGTTTTAACGGTAGTTTACAGTACACGTATGTCTGTCTATAAGAAGTTGTTCTTGCATTTTATAATATATTTATACTAAATGGTTTACATTGGTGTTTCAGATCAAGTGAAAACTACAGGTGAGAGGTCTTAACATTCTTTATCAGCTTTACTTTTTTGGGGCGTTTCACTATTATTCATCTTACGATACGTCAAACGTTGGACGTTAAAACTAACTCACGCTCTAGCGATTCTCAAAGGCTTGCATTTGAAGCGGTATATAGTATCATATCACTAAACAAAGTACTTGCCATCACATACACGATGAAATCATTAAATCAGCAGAAGGTTTCATAGCACTGTATATGAATTCCTCAGTTAACCGAGTTCAGTAACTTCATTATGTCTGCGGAGAGTTTCTGTAAACGTGAGTACGTTATTCGACTGAGCACTGAATACTATATGTCGTTTACATTCCGTGATTGCAGTGTCCTCTTACTGCATCAAGAAAAGGGGAGGATATTACTCTCTGATGGTCTTCTTTCCCTGGTTGGATGTTCTCGCCTTCCGCAGAATGGGGGCTGTGGATGCTGATGGCGAGATTAGTCCCAGCTGTGCCAACAGTAGATTTGACAAAAGTCTGAGATGGGAAACTCGCTTACGTGTTCAGATTCACAACGAGTCAGGAGTCTTGAAACCAGACTGCCCTGCACAGACAGTGAGAATGTAGCATACATATATAGAACGTCACACTAGTAGACAGAATGTAGCATGCATATATAGAACGTCACACTAGTAGACAGAATGTAGCATACATATATAGAACGTCACACTAGTAGACAGAATGTAGCATGCATATATAGAACGTCACACTAGTAGAGAGAATGTAGCATACATATATAGAACGTCACACTAGTAGACAGAATGAAGCATGCATATATAGAACGTCACACTAGTAGACAGAATGTAGCATACATATATAGAACGTCACACTAGTAGACAGAATGTAGCATACATATATAGAACGTCACACTAGTAGACAGAATGTAGCATGCATATATAGAACGTCACACTAGTAGACAGAATGTAGCATACATATATAGAACGGCACAGACAGTGAGAATGTAGCATACATATATAGAACGTCACACTAGTAGACAGAATGAAGCATACATATATAGAACGTCACACTAGTAGACAGAATGTAGCATGCATATATATATAGAACGTCACACTAGTAGACAGAATGTAGCATGCATATATAGAACGTCGCACTAGTAGAGAGAATGTAGCATATATATATAGAACGTCACACTAGTAGACAGAATGAAGCATGCATATATAGAACGTCACACTAGTAGACAGAATGTAGCATACATATATAGAACGTCACACTAGTAGACAGAAAGTAGCATACATATATAGAACGTCACACTAGTAGACAGAATGTAGCATACATATATAGAACGGCACACTAGTAAATTTGGATGTTTTGTATTGAACTCGAAGATGTCACGGGAGCAGAGAAACAAGCTTTGCTTTCTAGTTTTGGGTGTTACTAAATTGGATATATTGTGAGGCTTCACCGTACTTTGTCACCCCCAAACTATCTGCATTTGTTGGCAGGTATGTTGGCCCAATAGTACTTTTAACTATCTGTGTTGTGTATGTAAATAAACTTTTCACTGCAAAAAAACTGCTCTAGATGGGTCCTTGACGATCCGGGTTAGAACTGGTCTTCAGCAAACCATGTTTGTCTCCCCTTTAGAAGATCCGGGTTAGAATTGGCAAACCACGCTCGTCTCAAGAAACGTCTTCCTGAAACCATGCTTGTCGTAAAAGACAATTAACGGGATCGGGTGGTCAGGCTCGTAGACGACAGGATCTTACTACAGAGCCTGATCTTTTCCTATAATTGTTTCCACCTAAACAAAACTCAAAGGCTCATCACTTTAGGGCCTTTCTTCCACATTACGGTAGTCGCCATAATAACTTCATAGATGTGTATGTATAAAATACCTTATAACATATCAGGCCCCAATTTCTCGGAACAAACTTAAGTTTTTACTCAAATTTCAAACTGAGTTTGACAATTTGAAACAGCTGCATTTTTAAATCAACTTCATTTATAAAATAAAAAAGCCCAAACAACTTAAGTATTCTATTCACCAAACTCAAATTGTCTACTATGTTTGAGTTTAATATCAATTTCAGTTGAACATGGGAAATGCGTTTTCTCAAATTTGAGTAAAAATTCTAACTGAGGTCAAATCTCAGACCTAAGTTTGTTTCGAAAAATCGGGGCCTGATCTAATTGTTTAGGCATATGCTCAGGATGGTAATCACTGAATCTTCTGGCCTAATGAAATGTTGCTTGATGCGGCGCTGAACAAGTAACTAACAGTCGAATAATAAAATCATGTTGTAAAAAATCACATACACCAGGTCGGTGACGGAATCCTGCAGTGGACCTTCAGGCTTCAGAAGCAAGAAGAGGTTGTGTCCTTTGAAGATCAGGAATATCAAGTCCAGTGTGATCTGTCTGAAGCTGATGCCGTATACGCTGCCGAGAAAGTTGAGATAGAGGAGTAAGTTGCTAAAATACTTTTAAATCAAGGAATCTGCCCCTTGCCCGCTTATTAAATCGAAAACAAACAGTCATTACTGTTAGATACACAAAGATAGCAGAAACGATCCGTAACGATCCGGGTTAGAATCGGGCCCTAGCAAACCTATGCTTGTCATAAGAGGCTACTAACGGAATCGGAAGGACAGGCTCGCTGACTTGTTAGATACATGAATCCCAGTCACTCATGAAGTCAGATACTGGTGATTTCCTGTCGAGACTCGTTCATTTAAAGAGCGCTGAAATGTAGTGGTCGCATGAGGCTAAAACCCGTGAAGGTCCGGATTAGGATTGATCTTCAGTAGGCCATGCTTGTCCTAAGAGGCGACTAACGCGATCGGGTGGTCAGGCACGCTGGCTTGGTTGACACATATCATCGGTTCCCAGTGCGTAGATCGATGCTCATGCACATGATCACTGGATTGTTTGGTCCAGACTCGATTATTTACAGACCGCCGCCATATAGCTAGAATATTGCTTGGTGCAGCGTAAAACTAAACTCACTCACTCACTCGTATGAGGCTAAAGCGGTAAACAGACAATCATATGAACATTAAGCAGAAACAATGACTTGATTGTATGAAGAAACGTCAGCAGAAATGTGGAAACTTCACCATAAGGAATAGTCAGGAGCCGATCACAACGACATCCTCTTCCACAACAACTTTTTTTTCTAAACTGTTGCGAGATTTAGGGCTGGCGATAATGATTGAAAGCAAACAGTTATGTCCCTGTTTTGTATAAAATGTTTGGGAACATACATCGAGTCTTTCAGAGACGAGACAGGTTAGTGTAAATCGAACCCGGATCTATAGCGTGACTAGTGGACGCTTTAACCACAAGGCTACCCTATCGCCTGCGCAATACGATTGGCCGTAGCTGCCACAGATTGGATTAATATTGACACATGATTAAAACAAATCAATTAAATTTTCGAAACTGGGTTGTGTGCATAAACCTTAATTTCCAATTTACTTATTCCAGTCTTCGCGAGAGGTCAATAACAGTTGCTACACAGACAAGGGTCAATATCTGGACATACCTGGCTTCCACGGATACACTGACACCGGTGACTAACCTCAGCATTGGTGTCCCCGTCAGACTGGTCGTCACGCGTCCTCAAGGTGGGATTCAAACAAGCACTCTTAGACACAGTTTATGAATGGCGAGTGCTACCGTTTAACACCTGGTGCCATGACTTTCATGATTTTCAGTGATTCATTCATATGATATTCACAACTATTTTTCCCTTTACACCAAACTGAACCTTTTTCTGAATGAAGTCAAGACTGTGTATTCTTTTACACTGACGTTCTGTATTTATTCCCTGGACCAAGAGTGAATGAAAATTGTTTTCAGGCACATTTATTCTTCCGTTGTGCTGTTAACCGTTAACAATCGTTAAAACAACCATATGATAAACGGAGATGTAACCTGTTGCAAACAGACCTGCACTCGGTAGTATTTGTTTTGTTGTGATGTTCAAACTAGAGGTACAACTTCAAATCAGGAGAGTGATCAACATCTTTGGGGCATTATGGGGCATTGTACATGAGTCGTCGTTCCCAATGCATTATTCTTTCGACATCCTTTTCCATCTTCTTGTTTCAGAGGATAATATAGTCAATCCGTTGTTTCATCCGTGGAACTGTCAAGCTGCATCTCCAGATGGAAAGGTTGCTGTACAACTGACTGACGCCCACGGGTCAGTATAAACGTCATAAAGTATATAATTCCAAAATGTGATGAAAGTGTTATGCACGAACAATTATTGTTAATATAACCTAATTTTTAATCAAGTGGGCATAAAAAGACATTCTCTGTTCCTCGCTACTACTAGGGACAGGATATATGTCTGTCAGATGTGGACTTCTGATTGGACATCGCACCAAACATACCTGAAATTAAATTTCTATCTAGTAGGTTGCTTAATGCACTTGTACAATTTGTTTACGACGTAAAAACAATGTTTACATGAATAAGAAGGTTTGAACCTTGTCTATAGTTGTGCACTTTGGGGGTCATTTCTCATGTCTTCAAACGTTGCTAAAATCCGTGTTATTATATTATTATTATTTTAGAAGATCTTACCAATATTCAGTTCTTCAAAAGAGAAGACGTATCAAAACGGTCATGAAAACATGGTGATGGTGATATGTATTCATACCTTCTGTACGATATACATTATTTCCAGTGTTTCTCCATTTTCTCTGAATTTGTCCATTCTTTTTGTTTCTTTAAAATCCAAATTACAACATGTCTAACGCCTCTGTCGTGAAGGTCAGTATGTCACATGTTTGAAGGACGTGACAGGTCAAGGTAATGAGGAAGTAGGTCAAGATCACCGCCAGTGTCACTAGCAATGACAGTATTACATGTGAGCATTCATACATTGCACACATACCCTGTTACTTCCATTCGACTTTAAGTATTAAAACGGCGTTCATCGTGAATTAATGTTTAAATGACTTTGTTGAAAAATGTCGAGGAAATGGTCTTTCTTAACTGTTACTTGTCTGTCTCACAGTCCCTGAACCATAATATTTTCCCTACAGCCAGAGTTTCTGGTCTCCCTGGGGCTCCTTTTCAATTTGAGAGCGGAAGGTCGCTGGTTCGATCCCCGACCGCGTCATACCAAAAGACGTTAAAATATGGTACTTGTTGGTCCCTGCCTGGCGTTCGGCATTAATGGGTACAACAAGGACTGGTCGGCTCGGAGTCAGTATAATGTGTCTGAGTGGATTATTCATGCTTCACTGCGGCATGGTATCTCAGTGGGCTAGCACTATAAAACCAGCTTCAGTCTTGGCTAGTACAAGCAGCCGCACATACACATACACACGCATGCACGTCGTCATATGAGCGAAATATTCTCAAGCACGACGTTAAACCCAAATTCACCTCACCTCACCTCCAAATAACTCAATTAGAGACATGGGGCAACTTTTACCATGATGAACATGTATGGTATACAAATGTACCAATTTAAATGGGTTTATTTGCTACAATCAAAATTATATGTACTGAGAGACTAAGCGTTAGTCTAAGCTACTGCATGAACGTTGTTCCTTGTGAGGATACTATTGAGACTCTATAGGAGCACTGTCGAACTCTCCTCAACCCGACCAACTCGGTGAGAGTTGCGGTGCTAGTAATACCGCGTCTTTGACCAAAATGCCATGCATTGGCATATCTGTATCAAATATCTGTATTTTGTACTTATATTTATACATGTAAAGAAATAATTACAACAAACTGGTGATTTGAGAGCTGTCAATATCTGTTTATCTCTTTCTCTACCATAATGCTTTAGGTGCGATCGTATAGTGACCTACAGTGTTGAATGAAGATATTGTCACTTAATTTGGTATATCTTTTACAGATGTTCTCGGAAGAAAGTCATGGGCTTTGGACGACTTAACGAGACCTCTGGTGTGCACCAGTCGGGGATATTTCCAATGTTTCAGTTGAGGGGGTACTCTAAGGTGGTGTTTTATTGTGCTCTTGTACCTTCGCTAAGGCCATATAATGAGCATGTCTGTACATAGCAGATGAAAGGTCAACGCCAGTGTAGTGAAAACATGATTGTCACTCATACACTAAAGGTGATGTAAATGTACATACATACATACATGCAAAGGTGATGGCAGGCAATGTACATACATACATACACACACACATACCGACATACAGACAGACATACAGACAGACAGATACACACAGACAGACATACATACATACATACATACATACATACATACATACACACATACATACACACATACCGACAGACAGACAGACATACAGACATAAAGACACATACATACATACATACATACATACAGACATACAGACATACACACATACATACATACATACATACATACAGACAGACAGACAGACACATACAGACATACAGACATTTGTATAGCGCCGGTATCCAGCTGAGCTCAGCTGCTCAAAGGCGCTTTGTTTTTCCCTCGTTCACTGGATGTCAATCTCAACGGCACATCGTATTGTCAATCTCAACTCCCTGGGGATCATACAACTCTGCATAATTATATATCTGCGAAATCCAATTGAAAATATCTTGAGTAAGCCAACCATATCCAAAAAATTAGTTTGATAATTACTTTACAACACAGTCCTAAATATGCATCTTAAATAAATGTGTACAGGGGCGACAAGGCGCCTTTTTGTAAACCTGACTTTCTCGTATCTTCTTGTGGACGGAATACGTATCCGAAAACAGCAAATTGAAGTTTATTCTCTCCACTATCATGATCAAGCTATCACGGTCACGTCAATACACCGGGCAGTGACAGGACTCTGAATAAGGTTACATACTACCGGTCAATATAAATGTCAAGGCCATAGCAAATTTATAACAATGATTGGATCAGCGTATACGTGCAGGTTTGCTGGTTATGCATGTATATTGACAGCTACAATTTCATGTTCATTTAACACGTGCTGCACGTGTTGGAACTGTCTCTTCTCTGGCAATGGTGTTGTATTGGGTGAGTGAGTGAGTTTAGTTTTACACCGCACTCAGCAATATTCCAGCTATATGGCGGCGGTCTGTAAATAATCGAGTCTGGACCAGACAATCCAGTGATCAACAGCATGAGCATCGATCTGCGCAATTGGGAACCGATGACATGTGTCAACCAAGTCAGCGAAACTGACCACCCGATCCCGTGTGTTGTATTGGGACGCACACTCATGTCTTATTGTAATAACCCATATTCGAAATTTCCTCTGTTGAAGAGTGTTGGAAGAAGGGTGTTATAGGCAGTTATGATGATTGTATTTGGCAGAATAAAACTGAAGTGGTCTGTTGGTGTATGTTGATGATCCAATGACAAATTGCAGGGTAGAGTCACCTCCCCTTGGAAGCTGAATATCCTTACCCCAGTATCGCACCAAATGTCCTACTTGAAAATATCTGTAAACACATTCAGCATAAGTCATCCTGTTAAGCCATCCACCACTAAATTCTTAAAAGTGAGGTTAGTTTTAATTACTGGATAAAAGTCTTTCACACTTCATCCAATTACAGCTGTCACATGTCTCTATCTAAGCTTGTCAATGAGGAAGTGATTCTGAATGAGTGTAGTGGAAAGTGTATTCGTTACTCCCCAAGTATAGGGTAGTCAACTAGGACAATATTCTATTTCCGACAACTGTAGAACAGACGTGTATGTAACAGCTTTAAATTATAATCCTTGTCTGTTTTAGTTATATGTGGCCATTGCTCTCCCAGCTACTTCAGGGTTATTGAATTTTCTCTTGGTTGGACGGTCTTGCCATGCCTGAATAAACAATAAAAGAATAGTTTTAGTGCTCAGCCATTCGTGTCGGAAACGCCTTTTTTATAGAACAAATTGAAGTGCGCATTCACCGAGGATTATAACTTGAATCTGATGATCATCAGCTTCTTAGCTTAATACACATTAGCTGTTAACCGTTATCACATCCTTAATAAGCTTTCAACTTCATAACGTTTACAGGGTATGCATAGTTCTCCAAACAACTTAACTTGAGCAAACTTAGCTAAAACAATGAACAATGTAACTCTAACTGAAATTTAAGCTGTATGTAACATGTTTACATCGCAAATGAACTTGAACATTAAACCTTTAAAACATTTCTGAAAAGTGTTAATTATCTTTTTAAAAAATCAGCACTTAATGTTGAATATACTTGAAACCTGACATATCTTTGCTGTGTTAAATATTTAACAAGAAAACTGAAAATATTATATGACTTGATATGACTTGATGACTTGATATCAAACCACATTTGAAATAACACTAACTTCAATAAATACATCAAATACACATTTTACCAAACATAAGTTTCAAATAAATAATACTTTTATATTCAACAAAATAAATTTAACATGAAAAGAATATAAAGTAATTAGAAAACAGCTTTCAAATAACTAAAATCTAGCCAAGAGAACAATATTTTACGACTGCTTCAATTTGCTATCATCAGCGTGGCCATACTCATGTTACGGAGAAAGACCAACTTGACAACTTGACACTAAATATATGTATACTTGATATTGCCCAGCTGCTGTTCAAATATAAAAATCAAAAACCATTATAATAGAATAAAACAAATGAGTTATTCTTAAAATACCTATTTATATTACAACAATTGTCAACCAATGACGAGCGACATTGACACGAATGTGTACGTGATCCAAGGGACATAACTCTTTCAACCATGTGCAACAGACCAGTAGATACTGAAAATAACTAATTAAAATATTATTTTACAATAATTATTAAAAACCAAAAATACTTGTTGCACTTTGTAGGTAACTAGAATAGTGTAAATATATACTAAAAATATATTTTTATACGAACCCAATCCTTAAAAAAACATATTTGGCAAAAACACAGCGAAAATACTTGCTGCACTTTCTAGGTGACTAGAATAGTGTAAATATATACTAGAATATATTTTTATACGAACTGAATCCTTACATAAAACTTATTTGGCAAAAACACAGCGAAACATGGAAATCGACGATATGAACTGTCTCGAATACGGGTCGGTTTCACTTAACTTCGTTACCCTAAAAGTGTTGAATTAACTTTAAAACACGTCTACACATAAAACCTAGCAAACATAATAATGTAATGGGGCAAGGGAATGTGTTTTGTTGCTTTGTACATACCTGAATAGAACAATAATTTTACTGCTCAGTCATTTATGTCGGAAACGCATGTTGCATAGAACAAATTCAAGTGCGCGTGCGTACCTATCAACACATGTTGCATAATTAAGAGGACATAATTGCTGGCAAATAGATATAGTACATTTTCAACATAATATTTATTTATTTTAAGCATCTTTAACATGTACATGAAAGGTAGTCGTAATAATCTACGATACTGAGATAAAATTCTCCAATGTCATTTCATTCCAATAACTGATCTTCACATGGAGTTTCTCTGTGTGTAAACTGATGTAGGTACATGTCCGCTCTATGATATTGTGTATGTATTTCTCCCTGGTGATTCTTTTGTCTTTACACCGTGAACTGTTGGGCACGCCTATTATAGGACATGGAAATCGGTTCTCCAATCTCTACTGATCCCAAACAAAAGGATGATCGAATCCAGAAATTTTTCTCCTTCTCAGCGTGACACTCGGCAAGGACGATCTTTCACGTGTACATAGTACTTCGATTTATCAGCGAAAATACTGGCGGTCAACGAGATCTGAATGAATACCCAGCGTTATCGGAAACTCACGCATTGTCTGATTAGAAAGGGCGCTCCGCTGGTCATTTCTGAGTGTGGTGGTAGTATCGAAGTGATGACGTCAGGAGATACCTAACTTCTAATTTCTTGGCGGAAAGCTGTCGGCCACCTGCATGTTGCTGTAGTTGACCCGAACGTCTGACATTGAGTGAGTGTGAGTGAGTTAGTTTTACGATGCTTTTAGCAATATTCTAGCAATATCACCACGAGCGACACCAGAAATGGGCTTCACACATTGTACCCATGTGGGGAATCGAACCCTGGTTTTCGGCTTGACGAGCGAACACTTTAACCACTAGGCTACCCCACCGCCCCCGTCTGGCATTGATTCCATCATGTTGATAACACTGACCAAAGTGACGTTATGTTGACCCATTTTCGAGCATATATCTACCTGCCGCTTCCGTCGTCAAACGACGTGTTTGTCGCTGAGTGGCATAAATGCATTCGGGTGTTGCAAAGAGCAGTAATCTCTGAAAATTGAAAATATCAGCAAGTAATTACATCTTAACTCATTCCGTTGTCCATGAAACAACCTCATAATCTACGATAGGTTGATGGCACTTACATGTACACTAGCGTATGAAACAACAGAGTGCCATTCGTTCACTAACTAAAGACACGGAGGAATGTTCCTAAACTCTTTTTCCCAGCTAGAGATACAACATGATGCTCCAGATCCACCAGCTAAAGATACAAAAGGATGTTCTCCGTTCCCCAACAAAAGAATCGTCTCCGCTGCCCAAACAAAGATTCAGTATAGTAGACTATAGTGTTTCCTGTTCACAAGGTACACACGCATTATAATATCAGCTTAAGATACAGGAGGTGTTCCTTACTTCCACCAATATAAATAGAACAGCGCTGATGAAAGACCTCAAAATAACATTTATCACTTGCAAATCTATGAAATGTTTTCAAGTAACTTCTTAAGGATGAATATTGAAATTAAAAGCTTTTTTTCTGTGATCCCGATACGATCCTGTCCACACATACTGTACAGAAAGTGGAGCTCGGATTCTTGGATGTCAGTGGGGTTATCTCCCCTCCACTGTCTCTGCACGTGCTCTTCGACAGGAGGCCACATAAACGTGCCGTGGTTTATAACAGGAAAAATAAAGTGTAAAGAACTTGTTGTGGTTACGTTTGCGAAGTTATCCTCATTACCATACTATAATGACCCGTTATTATCAGTTCATTCTGAACACCGTCCAATCATTCTAATAAGTTTTGAATAGTTTCTATATTGTCAGTCAACAGAATAGTATATTCATTGAAGCTGGTACGAACTGATCGAGGTCATTCAAAGTGTAACTGTGGTTACTATTGACTTCAATTTCAGTAGCACTCAAACACGCAGTTTATAATACATATCTTAAATCGTAAAAATACGCTCACGCACTGGGCACGCGCACCCACACACGTAATTCAAAGTGCTACCCGTGACAATCCAGGTTGGAATCGGTCTCAGCAACCGACACTTGTCGCAAG